CAACATATTATAATTTAAACACTAACAGTCAGGAAAACTTTCCATATTATAATATCATTTATAATATCCGTACAAACAGCCAAAAGATTGATATGGTATTTTGATAATAATGTTTATTTTTCAGATTATACTAATATACCAGAAGTAATCTTTTAACAAACTATAAAGCACTAGCTTTTCCGCCCGCGTGGAGTTCGGTTATATCGCGTTTCCAAGAGAAGTAGAACCTTCCAAAAGACTGGTATAAAAACTATCCTATGTTCTTTCTCAAGGTCGACTCTATATCTGTACCAAATATCATTAAAATCCGTTCAGTGGTTTAGGCGTGAAAGCGTAACGGACAGACAAATTTACTTTCGCATTTATAATATTAGTAGGGATTAATTTTGCCAACAGTTACTTCCAAAAAGACATTCTAGGTACAGTGGCAAAAACTTTTGTTATTCAAAGTAAAATATTCTGGTTGGAATGTTAAGTTTCTGCAAGCTCAGCCCTGTTGTTAGGCCTTGAATGTTTGACTATTGGGGAATGTCAGGTGAGCTTATCGTGTAGAAATGTACTCGTGTTTAGGTTGAATTGTTGTCAAAGTGCCAAATGTTGTTAATGCTTTTAAAGTGTACTCTTAATTGCCTTTCTTGATACTTTACTGGAGTTTTTCAAATGGTACACGTTTTATTACTTTCCAAATAATAGGTTGTTCCGAAAACGTAATTAATATAAACAGTTCGTTTTTTATTTGATCCGGAAGTCTTAATTAATTCAAATGCATCTAGAAGTAATATTTAAGTAAGTATACACTATAATTTAGATATATCTTTGCTACATGACTGATAAATAACTTATTTGGTAACCATAGAACGAGTTGGCATTGTTTACTTCAAACTGAAGATGCCAACGTTTATGCTATAAATCGTGAGGATTGCGGATATATGCGAAGTACAAGCAGGCTTAGTCTTCGTTTGTACGTGACACGTACGTACATACGAAAAATTTCCGATTATTTATTTATTTATGTACCAAAAAAAATAGTTACAATTAAAGAAATGTGATGTAAAAAGGATAACTTATCTCTTAAAAGAGATCTCTACCAGAAACCCTTTGGATAGAGGAAAGGAGAATTAAAGATTCTGATGATAACTTCTAATATAGTTAACTTCGAGACTAGCAATCAGATGCATATTTTCACCTTCGAATTTAAATCCTAGCAATCACATCCTTCTTCATACACTTTCGAATTATAAAATTCCTTGTACTATACTGATTACTTTAATATAAACATCACGTCATTATTGATGGAAGACGAAATGACAATAATAATAAATATTGCACATCATTGTCACAACAAACTGTAATGACATCCTGACTTAAATAAATTGACATCGCCAATACAAAGTTGAATTCCTACGGGAGCGGATACGGGGCAATGAGAAAATAATGTATTGTGTAGTAACTCACTTTATATATGTATGTGTACATAATTCAAAATGTCCAGTTGCAACCATAACCATGTAAAACCGTTACATGTTTAACAAGCGGCAATATTTTCGCATCACTTAAGCGCTTTCTGGATGATTAAAATGTAAAACGAAACGGCACTAAGAACTTATTATTAATATACTACATTATATTTACATTTGATTATAATTCAATAAATTGTTTATTATAAACAAATTAACATTTAATCATAGTAATAGTACAATCAGTGGAGTAATTTGTAAACGTTATAACCATCTATTAGTAGAGATATCGAGATGTAACGGTATTATTATGTAAAAACTATCGAAGGTCACATCAAACCGGTAGTAGCTACGGTTACTTTTAACTTGTGGGTTTTTTTCTTGTAACTGTCGTGACGTTGAACTGGGTTACAAAAAATAATAAACAAGTGCTTACTTTCATTTCAAACTGGATCTTAACGATTGCAAACATCAGGATAGTGATAGCTTCATTAAATTCATTTCGATTTTCTTTAGCGTTCTTTAAAATATACTTTTGTATTAGCATGTTTTATAAATCATTTTTATATGTGTTTCATAGTTGCTGTATAACGTGAACAATTTCAATAAAACATTACTTATTCCTAGCTGGCATTCAACGTGAATTTCATCACAATGTAACATACTCAATTCGTCGCGTTTATACATTCGATCCGATATAGAATGTCTTGTTTATTTCGTAAATTGCGTTTTTATTAAGGTTAACAAACTCATAAACTTTGACTTCGCCGATACCTCACAGGTACGTGGATTGCACGAAGCATTTTAACTCACGCACGTCGAGAGAAAACATCCATTAGTTGCGAATCGTTTGACAATCGATGCCTACGTTATTATCCAGAGCAAATTGATCGTAATCTCGGTGAAACTTATGATATATAACTTAGGAATTTTCGTCATATAAAACCTTTCCAATATAAGACTGGCGTTTAAACTTAAAGGTCGTTGCAATGACGGTATTGAATTTTGGCAATTTTTGTACTTCAGTATTTAAAAACCTGTTCACTGGCGGTCAAATCGAGTATGTATTTCGTAATTCTCTTGCGGCTATTCTAATAAATGCCATGATGAGATCATAATGACACTTTATTATTATAAATGAACTAAGATGACGGCATAGAATAATTTACTTACATACCTATATTACAAAAAAGTGTAAAATATAATATGAAGTACATTAATTGAATTAAAGCATCAAGTTAATTTTATTATGACTTTCTGGTGCAATCCAATTAGTTTAAGGCATGTGAACATTGAGATGTCTTTAGAACTGTATAAAGTAAAACCACTAATGAATATTAAGAAACATTTTTAAGACATTTTAAATAGCTGTGACATTATATGATCATAGTAGTGGTGATGTCATGGTTAAAATATGTTTTTTCATAACAAAAATCTAACTAATATAGGAAGAATATAATACACAAAGCGCTAAAATTAAACATTTGAAACATTAAATCTACTGTATACATATAATCTAAGTCATTTTATCATAAATTTTAATACCACTAATTATCTACGGCTATAATTGTAAAATTTGCTTTATTAAGCTCAATTCCAATGATTTCAATAATCTTTGATTGTCTTTAATGAGATCAACATCTGCAATGGATAAAGTCAAATCTATCAATACTGAATTGTAATGATTATAAGCCGATAAGATATGCTACTCAGTAACATCTGGAATAATAATGAAATCTAAGAAGATGAGAGAGAAATGTTAGAATCCTGTCAATTGCAGTTTGTGTTAATAGAAGTGGATATTAATAAGAATAACTTACCACTTCTTGGTGAGATCGGTATGGCCGGCTTGGGGGCTGCATTAGAACATAATCTTCCAATCTTAGAAGGTGGTTTGAGCCCTGATGGTTTACTGAATGTTGTGGGTCTGATTGAATCCGATCTTGGTATGGTTGAAGCTGTTGTGCTGACTGTAGAAGCACCGTCTGATGATGTCGACGATGGCGGCGGAGGATGAGATGGATCCACAGAAGCCTCTGATTTGTTGCTCATCTTGATTCACTTTTCACTTTTTATATATATTAAACGATACTTTCGGTATCCATATTATGATATCACACGTTCAGCTTTGTATTCGGCTACAAAATTATTAAAAACATGACGCGACCCAAACAATCCCGACATTAAACTAAAAATACCACGACTTCCCGCGCAATAAGAGGACACGCAATCTGGATCACGGCCATATCGTAAGCATAAATGTAAATAAATCGCGATTAGGGTTTTCGCAACTACTTTAGAAAGTACGTTACTATATTATAATAAAAAAATTAACGTAGGTTCTTTTTGTTTTAAATGAAATTCATTACGCTACCGACATTTAAACTTTTTAAATTTTTAAAAGTATTAAGAAAAAATATAAAAGCATACCTTGAGTCAGGAAATAGAGCATAATAAGTGATATCCGTGACTTAAGAAAAACATGCGAAATTTTACCGCTCGTCGGACCAGCTGAGCTTGACAACGATAGCACTATCACACAACCGACACAAACTTGAAAATCATAATCATTTAACTAAATAAATAAATACCTCATGATCGCTAGCCGTAAAACTATACAATAAAAATAATGTAACAGTTAAAGAAAATATAATAGAAAGATGACACCAATCACACAACAAAAATTACAGCACCACTACTTTAACATACATTGCGGAGCACTACTCTTAATAATACTTGAATGTTGAGACTGAATTTGCATTACATTGCTTCACATCATTCATTGCCCACGTCTTGTTTATTCGGCACGATCGGATACACTATATCACAAGCAAAATATATAACAGTATCAGAGATAAACCATTTTCTAAAAGAAACATTTACTGGTGTTTTTTTCTTTATTGTTTTTATACTAAATTGCTCATGAGATAAAGTAAAAGGATTGTATAAAATATTAAGAGAAGAGGTAATATTTAAACATAATGTTATTTTAAGGCAAAAATCACTTTAGAAATAAAAATTATAAATATAAAGTTACACAACACCAGCGAGAGGAAGTTAAAAAAAAATTTTTCCTCAGCAGTATTATCTTATATTTGGTTAATATTTTTGTGAAAATCCATCTTATTGATGTAAATTTAATTCTAAGTCAATTTTAATAAATTTATGAAAGTCAGTCAAGAGCAATTTTATAGATAAATTTACGCATAAAAATATATATTATGTATTATATTTTATTCTATCATTACATTGAATAGAGTAAATTTATATTATTTTATGTGACTAAATAGTTATTGTAATATTTTAAGAAACATCATAGTTAAAATACGTAATAAGTTAGCAATAAACTTCACATTCTTGTAATTTTTTTTCAACTCTGAAGTCTAATCAGATGTGCCCTAAACTAATATGACATATGTCATACTGCATACATCTCTTTCAATGTTGGAAAATTTAAATCTTTAATAATAAAAATGTTATCTTTTATTGGTTGTAGGCAAGAATGTTTACAATTTTAGTTTAATAATTCTTTAAAGCGCTACGATGAAACTCGTTTTTAAAAACGTCGAAAAAGATGGCAGTGGGTGAGTACACATAATAATTTTGTTATCGTCGTATTGGTGGCATATGCTAATGTTAAATTTACTTTCAGGAGTATTGCACTTATTCCCGAAGAGTCGGAAGACATGTGGCATGCTTATAATCTCATTGCTGAAGGAGATTCGGTGACGGCGTCGACTGTACGAAAAGTACAAACTGAATCGTCGACTGGGTCTTCTACTAGCAATCGAGTCCGAACGACCCTTACAATAAGAGTAGAAAATATAGATTTTGATACTCAAGCCTGCATGTTGCGGTTAAAAGGCCGTAACATTGTTGAAAATCAGTATGTAAAGGTATGGTTTTTACATGTGGTATTATTACAATAAAATTGTTAAAATTAATACAACACAAATTAAATTATAATCTTAATAGATGGGGGCATATCACACTCTGGATTTGGAGTTAAATAGGAAGTTCACACTATGTAAAATACTATGGGACTCTGTAGCTTTGGAGCGGGTTGAAATGGCCTGTGATCCGGCAGCCAGCGCAGATGTAGCAGCTGTTGTGATGCAGGAAGGTTTAGCACATGTCTGTTTAATCACACCATCAATGACACTAGTAAGATCTAAGATAGATGTTACCATACCTAGAAAACGTAAAGGTTTTGTCCAACAACATGAAAAGGTATGAAAAAGTTCTTTATTTTTGAATTCAAGACCACAATAATGACATTAAAGTATGAAGTAACTGTATATATTTAATTAATTCCTTATTTACAGGGTTTGAATAAATTTTATGATGCAGTCATGCAAGGAATCCTGAGACATATAGATTTTAGTATAGTTAAATGTATTATCTTTGCATCACCTGGTTTTGTTAAGGATCAGTGTTTTGATTACATAATGCAGCAAGCCATTAAAACAGATAACAAACTCCTAATTGACAATAAATCAAAATTCCTACTGGTGAAGGCATCATCTGGATTCAAGCATTCTTTAAAAGGTTACAATTTTTTAAAATTTTTATATGTTAATTAATGAATATATACTTACATTAAGCATTATTTTGTTTCTGTGAATAAGAAAGTATGATTTGGGATTTTCTGTGAGATGTAATAGTAAAATTAAATATTTTGTTTTAAAAAGAAACAGCTTTATCACCATCTGCTGTATACATCTCCTATCTCATCTTTTAAAATGTAGAGTTTGTTTAAATAGAATGCAAAAATTCATAATCCTTATGTACTTCCTCACATAATATAAGTTGTTGAAGTTGTGAAAATTCGCATTGCCACTGTTAAATTAATGTTATCATATAATAATTCAAATAGCTAACATTTACTGTATTTTTACTATGGACAAATTTTATTATCATATGTTTTTTTATATTTAAAAAACTAAATATTTTTATTACAGAGGTATTGCAGGAACCATCAGTTATTAACAAAATATCTGATACAAAGGCTGCAAGTGAAGTGAAACTTTTGGAGAGTTTCTACACCATGCTTCAATTGGAGCCAGCAAAGGCTTACTATGGAAAGAAACATGTGGAAAGGGCTAATGAAGCTATGGCCATAGAAACTCTCATGATATCTGACAAATTATTCAGGTACAAATTATATATGTAGGACCAAAAAATATTGAGGGAGAATTAAAAAAGTCTGTGGTATAACTATAAAGAAAAATCTTACTTTGTATAACATCAATGAAATATTTATTGAAGTGTTGCATTTAACATTTGACTTTTTTGATAAATAGAAAAAAAATTGTAAAGCAGACCAAAATTGTTTCTTAAAGGTTAAAGTTAACATAAACAGCGGGAGGAATATAGCAAAAGTTTCAATTACTTACATTATAACAGAAAAAAAAAAATCATATAGAGTATATTGAATGATTAATTCACCTACACAAACAGGATTTAAATCTTTAATCGGCGGAATATTTCATTCTAGTTGCAATATCCTAGAGATCATAAATTCCAATTCTATTCATGTAGAGGACTTTTCCATCTATGCTTCCCATTTTAAATTCATTTTTTGTTTCTAAAACCTAGATGTCAAGACATACAACAAAGGAAAGAATATGTAGCAATCGTTGATTCTGCCAGAGATAATGGCAGTGATGTAAGGATATTTTCAAGCATGCATGTTTCAGGGGAACGTAAGTAGAAATTTTAATAACACTATAAATGTATTATGTATACAGTGCTTAAAGTCTTTATATATACATATAAAAATTTCGTGTCACTTGTTTGTCTCTGATGGACTCCTAAACTACTAAACCGACCAACTGTGACCAACCAAAGAATTTCCATATTCTTAGTAAATTCTTGTACAAGTTCTTCTCGTTCGTGTTAAGAAATTTATATGAGAATCGTGTTATATTTTTGTACCTACATATGTATATTAAAGATTCATAACCGGAACTGGATTCAAATATTGTATTGTGTAATGCTGAGTAGACGCTGCGAGGGTTAGGCCCTGTTTGTTTTTAGATAGAAGCGAGTTGGACGATCAGTTGGACGATCAGTTGGTCGACCAGTTAGACGATCAGTTGGTCGATCAGTTGGACGATCAGTTGGTCGACCAGTTGGACGATCAGTTGGTCGATCAGTTGGTCGATCAGTTGGTCGACCAGTTGGACGATCAGTTGGTCGACCAGTTGGTCGATCAGTTGGTCGATCAGTTGGTCGATCAGTTGGTCGATCAGTTGGTCGACCAGTTGGACGATCAGTTGGACGATCAGTTGGTCGATCAGTTGGTCGATCAGTTGGTCGATCAGTTGGTCGATCAGTTGGTCGACCAGTTGGACGATCAGTTGGTCGATCAGTTGGTCGATCAGTTGGTCGATCAGTTGGACGATCAGTTGGACGATCAGTTGGTCGATCAGTTGGTCGATCAGTTGGTCGATCAGTTGGACGATCAGTTGGTCGACCAGTTGGACGATCAGTTGGTCAATCAGTTGGACGATCAGTTGGTCGATCGGTGCATTTTGATCCAACTTAAAAGATAGAATAGCTTACATCTCAATTAATAGTCACAATATTATTTTATTTTATATTATTTGTCTATTAAAGAACATTATTTGTCATTATAACAATTATCTGTTGACTGAGTTAAGTATTTAATAGATGGCGCTGTTAGAATTACAAACGTCATAATATATGAGCGACTATTTAATAATAGCATAACCACCATTTCTGAGGCTGAGGTATAACCTAAATTTATATATTAAAAAAACGTAATAGATATTTCGTGATTATAGGGCGATACGAAGTTCGCCGGATCATCTAGTAGATTATAAATATAGTTATATTTTGACATTTGCAAAAATTATTATTATTTGAAGTTAAATCGCACCTCCGCTCAAATAGTGTCACAACTCAAAAAAAGTTGAATTCAATTTTATTGCACTATTGGAATCAGAAAACTTCGAAATCTTATCTCAAATAGTGTCGTAATAAGTTTTTTTTTGGAACGCTTTAAATAAACAATATTTCGTAAATTATTCGTTTTTTTCAACCTTAAAGTGTCACAACTCAAAAATTGTTATTTTTTTTTAATATAATCCAAAAATCTATTACACCATTTTGTTGAGTGTCAAAAATCATTATAACTTACTTAAAATCATATTGCAGTAACTTTCACAGTTTTTGAGTGATGAGCCGAAAAGTGAAAAATAAAGTTAGCATTAACTTCAAACGCGTTTTATTCGAAAGTTGGGATTTTTGACTTATGACACTATTTGAGCGGAGGTGCGAAATTATGGTTTATTAACATTCAATTATAAGTTGTTCTATCAAAGAATGTCAAAAAATATGATCTGTTTCTAAATCTAAAGACCAGAAAATTAGCCAAAGCTATATTCTTCATTTAATAATTGAATATGAAATAACTGTTTCATACATGTTGAAAACTTACTGTTCTTTTTTTTTGCAGAATTAGACCAACTTACTGGAATAGCGGCAATACTACGTTTTCCAATGCCAGAACTAGAAGATAGCGATGCGGAGGATGAAAGTGACTCTGATTCTGACTAGATTAAATATTATATAGGTGAAAAGAAATGTTGCTTATATCTGGATACCTAACAAATAGCCATTCTGATATATATTGTTATTATTTGTGTTGACTTATTTCTAAATTAGATTTAATACAAATGTTACTTATGTACGAACTGTAAATCATCTATTTCAACTCTGGGATGGAACCCATTGTAATTTATATAATTTATTTATAGAATTAAATAATAGACCGATATCAAAAATAGTTCGTTTTAAGTTAAATAAAACAGCATTTAAATCAGTGTGTATTTATTTATTGAATCAAGTTTAAGCTTCTAACGCTTGCATTTTTTGTTTGCGTTTTACAGCTTTCTTTTCTTCTGAAACCTTTTCATCATGTAGACGCCTCTTCTTACGTAATAGCCAGATTTCTTTCTTTCGTTTCTCCTGTCCAGCTTTCATACTCTTATACAAGTTTCTGTGTTTCTTCGGAACAAGTTTCTCTCGTAATCTGAACGCTTGTTTGTCTTCAATTTCTTTCTTGTATGGATGTTCTTTGACGGGTACACCAGTTGTCACTGCCATGGCCTTTTTCTGTAACAGATGAAAAAAAATTATACCATACAAAAATTACATTAAAAATGAAGTAGACAATTTTCATGTCTAAAGAAAAACATTTATTTATTGTGTTGGGTTGATGCTAAGATTTTTTTTAATATATTGAGTGTATTACTAAAGTGACATATGAAAAACAAGATAAAACATTTAGTTTATCAAAAGATCACAAGATACTTTAGTAAACCAATAGCTTTGATGAATAAATCCCACCTTTTCCTTGGCAGCCTTCTTTTTATCAGGGTCTTGGTCATCATCATCATCATCTTCCGATGGTGAATCTTGTTCCATCTCTTGTTTGTATTGACGAGCCAGAGCCTCCTCACCATCCTCTTGTTCACTTTGTTCCTCTTTTTCTTCATCACTGGCTTCCTCAATTTCTTCATCAGATGGCTCGTCATCTATAAAATAGGAAATTAGTATTTTGAAAACTATATATTAGATTTCGAGAGTGGAAATCATTAAATATTGAATTCTTTTGAGTTACAATAATTTCAATATAATGTAAGTACTGCGATAAAAACTTTTTTACAAAGGTTTTCGTTAAAATTTTACATGGAAGTAACTGTCTTATACATTTTTTTCAATAGTTATGTATTATTTGTTATAAACTCACCAAGAGGTTTGAAGTTGGGGTCATTAAGAGCTCGTTGCTCAGGTGGCATGTACACTTGATCCTTAGTCTTATCAATGAATGGTGATAAATGTGGCGGCAGTACTGCACCCATCAGGTACTTATTAATAGGTAACAGTGTTCTTGCATTTACACTGTCAAATACCCACTGAGGCTGTACATAATAACGAGATAGATATTGCTTGTCCATAGATGGTCTATCAACAATTTGATATGCAATTGACTCGTCGGATTCATCAAAGGTAGCTCCAACGAAATGGTCTCTGTCCCAAGAGACTTCACCACCAAAGCAACGTATTATGAAGACCAGAGGTTCCCTTGGTACTTCCCGATTTATGAAGAACTTCAGCCCTTTAAACATTGTTTTGAGTACTTTTATTTTCTCAGCTTCTTTCTTAGCTTCCTCCATTTTTTCTGGGTCATTGTCTTCTGTGTTAAAGACATCAATGTCTGGTAATTCCTCTGCTTCATTGGAACCAGCAACTCGTGCTATTGACATGTTCATAGCAGCAACTCTCTCTGCCACATAAGCCTTTTCATCTACTAAATCTTTTTCTGCATCAGAATTCAGCCCAGCAGTTAATTTTGGTGGATATACTAAGTTTAAGGAGTGGAATAGTTTGAAATTTACGAATCCCAACACCATTATATAGAATTCCACAAATGTAGACATGATTTTAAAATCTACTTCATCTTTATTTTGCGGCTAAAACAGAAAGAAAACCATATTTAAGATTAAAAATGTTAACAAGACAAAACTAAGTGTTCTTATAATTAACAAAATGACTTACTTTAAATGAGAAATGATGAGGAACAATCCAGGTGATAGTTTGTCCTTCAATTTCTGCTTGGTAATAATATCCTTTGACAGAAACAAATACTTTACGGAGAGCCTTTGCTGCTATGATGGCATGCATGAACTCAACAGTTAATCTCCTGCACAGGAGAGATTGGTCTCTGGGAACTCTTTTTAAAGAGGGGAAAGTGCTGAACAAAAAGCAGAGCGTCAAGCAGTCATCCAAGTCTCTCAATGCATCTACAAATGTAGGATATCTCTCCTTAACAATGTGATCTATGTTTATTTCTGGGTAATCACTGAAATATTTCCTCATTTTTCCATACTCTCGCATAGCACGAGCTTTTCTAATTTTTTGTTGAAAAACCTGAAAATTATTGTTTTAAAACATTCTGTTGATAACTTGCAAAAGATAAATGGATTACTTGTTCAAGAGTACTCACTTTCAGTTCTCTTAGTTTCCATATAATTGGTTCATGTAGTAAGAATTTGATATCTTTTGTGTGGTATAAGGTTTTGATACCTCCAGCACCTTTCTGTGCCCTTTTTCGGTTTCGTGGTTCTCGGGGGTAAATACCTTTGAGGATGCATATCCGTCTAAAATCTTTTAAAGACAATTGAAGCTTTTTTAAAGCTGCCTTTCTGGTCATAAACTGAGCTCCTTCTCCGGTCGAATACTGAAATAAATATTATTTATGGTTATTTTCATAACATCACCACGTGTTTAATAAACATTTCATTATTTATTACAAGCACACCTTCTTCTTCCTTTTAGACACCATTGTTTTAACTTGATTTAACTTCGCTTTTTAATATATATTTTTAAATTTATATAATATTACTTTAAATAGAAATATTCACATGTTTTCTCCACTTGTTTAAGATACATAAAGATCGATTATTGACATTGACAGTATCGTGCATGGTACATTTAAAAACCATAGTCTAATCTTAGTCTTTACTTCAACATTTTTTGTATATGACAACATTTACGTTGTTGTACTACTTTTTTACATTGCGATATACTTTTAAAGAATTACTTTATTACTTACATTAATCCTAGATAGACGACAAGAACTACGTAATAATATAAATATTTTTATTTATGAGCTTTATTAATATACTCTCTTTTGCATAATATCTGTAGACCCTGATTATGCTAAGATAAAGTTTTATACTTCATGACATAGTTCTTTTTATTATAAAACTACTTTAATAAATAAATTATAATAAATTATTATAGATCTTCACAAATATATAATAGTCGTCTTTATCCGATTTTCGTTCCTTTATAACATAAATTCTTTTACATTATAACTTAAATGTTACGGTATATTAGAGGGATATTTAAGTAGCTTCTATGAAATAAAAAACGTTTTATACTTATTCAGTCCTTTAATCGTTTTTAATAAACTCTTATTATTTAAATTAAATTATTCTATGTAACACTCTAAGTAACTGAAAACTATCAGCTTCTACATACATTATGAGGCGAGCGTATTAAATTATGAAATTTAAATAAATAATAGAACCAGCAGTGGCAAATTTTCGCAAGGTAAAATTTTACTAATTAAATGCTAAGCATTTTCTGCGCTCGATGTTGTTGTTGTTGGTGTTGGTGAAACATCGGTTTGGGATTGCGACCACGCAGTTGGATCTACCATAACGTATTGATAAGGATATGTATACGGATGAGGCCAATATGGTGGTGGTGTTTGTGGTATCATATTCTGGGTTTCTTCGCTACCTTCATTTTCTTTCATTGTTTTCATTGCGTTTGTAAGTGCGGACATCATATATGGGTAGAAATAGTTGTAGGGGGAATAAGGATTCATCGGAAAGCTGTTACTGCATGGTGAAAATTCTTCTGCTTGTTTCGGTCTCATGGGATATGGGTAAGGGACCATCGCCTCTGTTCCAGGAACAGCGTATGCATACTTCACTGCTGGACTCTTGATTACTGCTCGCTTTTTGGAAACAATAGTTTCTTCATTAGGTGAACTCGTTTTAGTCAGCCGCGACGTAAAAGATACTGGGACTGATTTTGATTTAACTTGTGAAGCTGCAGTTAGAAAGTTTACAGGCTGATCTGTTAGCCATTGTGATTGAGCTCCGTCATTTTCCGTTGCAGCTACATAAAGATCTCCTGTGGTACCGTCATTCGAAGGTTTTACGTACAATCCGTGGACTGGGTGTAACCGACTTTCCTGGTCCCAAGTTACATAAGACTTTGAAAACGATATAAGTATTGAAAATATAAAAAGATATGGCAATGAATTCATCGTTATGAGATGAACTTAATACTGAACGTATTTGAGACAGCATTTTCTATATATATTTAATGCAGCTTCCTCGCTTCATAAGTTATAGATTAAATTATCATGATGTTAGATAAGGCAGCTTCTAATCTAAGACACGTATTGTCAATTTATAATATTTAAGTCACGTTGAGATGGTAAATTACATTTAAAATAAGAATAATATTTTTTATTATTTTAAATATGACGGATATTTACACACTTTGTATTATATATGTAGGAACTAAACAAACTTCGCTTTTCCTAAAATTATTTATAATTAAGAAAAAGTAAGGTCAGTAAAAGTTGTAGGTAAGTGGGAACTAGTGGCGTTTTATAATTTGTCTTTAGATCCGACGTAAAATCAACTCATTTCCAATTTAGGTTTTAGCTAATTTTTAATATTTAAAATTCTGAATTATTTTCATTCTATTTCATCTGATTTCTTCATTATATTTGAGACTTGAGAGAACTGTTTATTCCCTAAACAAATTACATAAATACTCGTATCATTCTTATTTAAGCTGATTTTAAAAATTCTCTTCCAACTCCTCGTCTATTGCCTGTAAATTTATTATAATGTAAGTTTTTAACATGTCTTCGAATAATATAAAGTATCAGAAAATAAACCAGTATCAGTAAATAAAATAAGAAGAAAATTGAATATTAGATAAATGGTAAATTAATTTCACCTGTTTTTTTTTTGTAAAGAGACTTATTTTTCTATAGGAGAACAAGGCAATTTTACATATTTTTTTATAGCTGTAGTGAATGTCATCTCTATTTTTATTTTTGTGGAAGTGCTAGTTTTATTGAAGGTTTTATAGGTATTATTATAAATAGGTAAAGTAATTTTACTCCGTATTGCATGATCAATTGTCCTCGAAACAACGCCCTTATACATTATTTCGCTTTTATATTATTCAAGAAATAAATAGCAAGAATTTTTATCGGTTATTACTCTACCGATAAAACCAAAAATATGTAACTATAATTTTAGTCAGAATGTATATTCGCTGTTTTTATATAGTGTTATTGATAAGGGCTGCTTCAGTTTATAGAACGTCCACTTGTTTGAATGAAAATGAAGAATACTCTCTCTGTGGATGGAAATGTCCGCCCACGTGTGTCAATTTGAAATATCTGATTATGCCTGGTGCGTCGTGCTACTTCAAATGGGAATGTAAGGTTGGCTGTAGATGTTCTGCTGGCTTCATTAGAGATGAATACAGCAAGAAGTGTGTCTTGGTCAGCGAGTGTCCCGGTGAGTGTAAAAATAACAGAATATTTTATTTAAATTTCTTCTAGTAAGATACCATCGAGTCAGTTTTAAAGAGCATATTGAATAGTATGATTATTTTTCTCTCAATATTGTTGTAGTACAGTTTTAATAATATGTAATTCGACTTCCAACTTTCAATGGACAAAAAAATTAAAAAATATAATATGTAGTTATGATGATAAATAAACAGACATATAAAGTATGACTAAAGGATTTTAAGTATTTATTAAATTTAGTTCAAGTAAGCGGATTTTACGTATGAAATCGTGACTGAATTCAAACTTATATGTATGTCAAGGATCTTCAATGAATAACATCAAAAGAAACGTAATATTCTTATTTTAGTACTGAAGTAAATAAAAAAAACAAGAAATGGTTATTATTTTCTAAATATAAGAATAAATAAAAAATATACCTTTAGAATTTATTTATTAATCATTGTTATAAAGAGTTGATAAAAATAAAATAATCCAAAAATCAAAACTTAGTAGGTACTTGGTTTCATAAGGAATATTACACTCAACGTCTTAATAATAAAAAATATAGTAAGAAAGCAAATTGAATATCAAGATTTTGAAAGAAAAATCTTTCAAATGTTGATCTTTTATATAGGTTTCTATTTATTTTTTCTAAGGAGAAAGTTTATTTAATTTATCCCAAAAAATATTTACTGATTTTCATTTATGATGTACATATATGGTCTAATTAAGGTAGAATTTTATTGAAAACTTTGCATATTTTCTAAGAACTAAAAACCAATATGTAAGGTTTTTATAATCCTTTCTTCTTCTTCTTTCTGTCCCTTTTTTTAAACAAGCACATTAATGTTATATAGGTCATGTTATATTTAGCAACGAAATTAAAAGAAATAACGTGTTTCATTATGCAACGATGCAGTACTTTATTCGTTCGACTAAGCGAAAAATTTTAGTCTCTTAAACATAAGGTTTAATTTCGAATTTCAATACTCCGCATAAAGTATGTCTTTGACCGAAAACTTGCATGTTGCATAAAAATGTATAAATATGACTTATTGACGAATCTTGTTGCCATTAGCATAATTTTAATATAATGAAGGCGGTGGTTAGACTGTGTATTTGTGCTGCGGTTGTGAAATTTTCATTTACAGCTCCCGTTGAAGATGAAAAACAAACTAATTACTACCCGTACGATAAAGAACAACTTGACTTTATGAGGAATAAAAGATTGAATGGAAATTCCCATTATAAGACGCCATGTCAAGCTGCTGCTTCAGCGTCATCATCATCTGGGTATTTATCACCGGATTCCATGTATCAGAATAACTTCATACCTGGACTGGGGAGATACAGTAATGCTTACGGCTACGCGTATCCAGAATTTTCAGGTTTATATCGCTCAGATAATCCTTACGACGATGATAGGGAAATCATGAGTTATTCCGACGGGAATTTCATCGATAGCATATCTTCGGCGAGATTCGCCAAAAAGCTACTGCCGACCGTCGTTTCATCTCCAATAATAGCTCCACAAGCTATATCGTCTTATTTACCTTTGAACACTGCAAATCTTGCCGGGCTCACGGGACAAATAGCTCAAGTCGGACCGACTTATGGCCTTTTACCCAATTCTAATGGCGGAGGTTGTAATATCCCTCTTTTCTTCAGTTGTACACCGTCTATAGTGTCTGGTCGCATATCTAGACCTGAACATCATCTGTATCCTTCTAATTTTATTGGAGCATCATCAATAGATTATCGTGGGGTCGAAGACAGTCAAGTGGTTCATCCGAATAGAGAAGAGAATCTTCAAGAGAACAGTGCCTCAGTTAAAAATCCCTCTGCTAAATTTAATGAAAATTATTGATATTACTTAATATAATTTTATTGTTATTAATAAATTACTTAGATAAGGTCTTTGAATTGGATGTAATTTAAAAAGGAATAATGTATTAAGCAATTGTAATAAATCCATTTATTTAAAATATTTTTGTTTTTTATTTATTGTGATAGAATATGGCATCTCGGGCAGAATAAACTCAAACAAAAGCTACGTTTTTTTTAAAGTATGTCTACTATTTCAAATAAGTATTCTGTTTTATTATATAAATATAACCTTATGTTTTTTTACATCTATAACTAGTACTTTAAAGGACTTTTTATGATATTTTTAATTAATTTAAGGTATATTATTTATATACAGATACATAACATAGTAATGTTTCGGTTTATTATCCTATTTGTTAGAAATGTAAAAAGCTATCAAAGTTACCAAATCTTCAAAACTAATATAACTGCTGATTATGCATGAATTATTTTGATCCATTAATAAAAGAAATATTTACATTTATGGGAAGTGACTTTTTAAAATAAAAGTCTTGTTATCGACTACTTAAGTCGTTAATTTGTTCTCTTTATGTTGTAGGAAAAAACTAACATCCGTATGTTCAGGATTGAATTTTATGTCTCCCTAATTTTTTTCTATATTTTCTTTAAAGAAAAATACAAATATACGTCGTTTTGAATTACATTCGCTTTAGAACGTTACAAATTCGGAATTATTATGTTTTAATTATACCTTTTTGGAAAAACTACACAAACCTAACCCTATGACTAGTTTCCTAAAGTTGTAGCTAATCAAATTAAATACGATGAAAATGTATTATTACTCATTTTTCACTAGGGCTAACATACAGTGTTGCAGGATTCATAAATATATTTAAAATGTATGGCAATTGGAAAAACAACTTAACAAATGGGCATATAGAGTTTTCTAACAATAATATGTAAAGATTTATTTGATATTAATTTGTTAAAGATCAACTCATTGTGTTTTTTTGAAGGAATCATTATATTGCATGAAAAACAAATTATAAATAAAATATATGAATAAATGAAAAATCTGAATTCGAATCAAATTGAAAAACTTCCTTCTTTTCATAGTTGTTAAAGGAAAGTATTAAAAATGTTAATACGTGATAATTTTAATGTTAATTTAAGTGTACATACATTTCACAATTAATGCAATATACAGCAATTTGCTGACGACGCCATGAGACTTAACACCGGTGGAATTTTGCTTTGTCATTATTACGTGTGGCCTCTTTATAACATCGCCTTGAATAATGCCTTCATGAAAATAAAATATAATCGTATTTAGATTTCATATTATTGAATTAATTATTATACATAAGCATTTATTGATTTTAATACTATTTTTTGTATCATTTTAGATATCAAGTTTGTTTTATATATTGCAGGGTAATATTTTTATCACTACTTTGATAAGTTAGTAGTGAATAAAAAATACTAACTTAGTGTGTATTTCAGCCTCGTATTGGAAATCGAATGAGTTTTAAATCTGGAAGTAATTACAGATGATTAAACTAAACTACCTATTTTTTTTAAGCTCAAAAATTTTATCGAAAATTTAGAATCAGAAAAGAATATTTGTTTTGTTATTTCTTTCTTATAATAATTAAGGGTTTTTGCAAATATATAAAAGTAATAAATAATTCATATCAACACGCTACAATAATTAAATAAATTTAATTTCTTCATAAGAATGTTATATAAAAATAAAATTTGTATGATACATATATATGTTTTATATCAATATAAAATGTTAATAGATATTGGTAGTAAAAGTTCCTCCAAATTCATTCAAAGGGTAGAAATAGTGGTGCGTTTTGACTATGAGGAATCGTCTTAATCTTTGCGTCGAGAAAAAACATGTCTCATATAACATTTTCAATAATATGAACTAATTATGTGAATGAAATACATTACGAAATATATATTTTTTTAATTCAAATCTGTTGTTTCATTATATGTTTCATAAAGTTATTTATAATTTGTTGTCTCGTGAAAATACAAAATAACACTTTGCATGTTTCAATTAAGTACAAGAATAGTAAGACAGAAATTAATATTTCAAAATCAGCCTACAAAGTGTAATAAAATAAATTTAAACCTTAAATATAAGTTATTGCATTCGCAATTAATATTTTTTGCTATAAAAATACTTAAAAAGCGGGAGAAAATCTAGAGAATAAAACCATATGAAAGAAAAAATGCAAAACGTAATAAATAGAATAGTCTTAATAGAATGATCGAAACCAAAGAAAATAATTTAATTACCCCAGACAACGTAAATATTTAAATATCATACATAAACTACATGTTAAAAAAATCATTTAGTTTTTTAAGCAATAACTCTCAAAATTTGTGTGTTGTTAATTAAATATTAAGCAAATGTATATCGTATGTCAGTATTTGTTCTAAGGATAAATATTTTGCTGCTTTTGAGTACAAAAAAACTTAAATCTTTACGTAACAATTAATGGTTTGTGTTAAGTGTGCCTGGAGTGATTCTGATAGGGCTTATATAATTCTTTTATATATTATTCCTGTTAATCCATTTCGGAAAAGATATTTTATTTAATTCAGATGAAAACGTTTCGTTCTAATTATATTTTTCTCATAAAAAATTTAACAATTAAATTATAAGCAGCAATAGTGGGAGCCCTGTTAATAATGTATCCAAATTAACATTTTTACCTCGGGGTAGACAATAACTTTGTTTTTTCTTTTCATTATTTTCATAGAGACGTAAAAAATTCGAAAAATTTATATGATTCAAATAATAATTTTAATTATATTAAATTGTTTTGTATATTTTTTGTTTCTTAATGTAACGTTATTGATAAATTACAAAGAGAATAATAATTATATATATATATATAATAAAATTCAGTAAATGTTTCGGTATTAGTAATGCGGAAAAGACATTTCAGCATTTCTTTAAGTCAATAATCATGGTAGTTATTAGGCACGTTTTGTTTTGTTTTGTTCGGATGAAAGTTTATGTGATATTCTTGTATAAATGCCAGTGTCTGGTGAATCTCAACATCAGAACAGGAATAGCACAATACGATGAAGTCTTTCATTGTGCTATGTTCTTTGGTGACATTTGTAACTGCAGTGCCAGTATATCAAGGAGATTTTATTGAATCTTCGGCCAATAAATTACCATTATTTACAAAACGTGAAAGAAAATCAACTTTTCCTGATACAACTGATTTATCCCTGGAGCATGGAATCGAAGAAAGCTCTATTTACAACGGTCAAAAAGTAAACAATGGAGCGTCAAGAAATTTCAAGAAACCTATAGTTATAAAGAAAAAGTTTGGCTATCATATTTACCGTGATTCAGACGAGGAGTTTGCACACTCAGAGCCAGGTGAAAAGTGCAGAGAGAAGGTCAAGTTTAAGCTATGTGATCATGAACCTGTTGTTGGAACAAAGAGTGGTGTAAAAAGTTCCTGTATGAATATGCAGAAGTCCGACCACGATATAGAGAGTAGTATTAGAATGGCTAAAGAAGCAATGGAATATGTGCAAAGAGATTTAAAGAAAATGCAAATTTTTACACCAAAAATGGGAAATACGAATATTGAAGACGTAGAAACCAATAGCGACTTACATCATGACATTGAAGTTGCAAGAGAAGCTTTGGAACATATAGAAGACAACTTGGAATCAATGGATTACCAAATTACGAAAGAAAAAGATTTAGAACTGCCCAAAACAGTGGATGAAGAAAGTATTACTAAGTGGAAAGAGGCAATCAACAACATACAAAGAAATTTTGAGATAGTTAAGAATATAGAAGATGCCTTTAAATCTGATAATTATCATTCTTTACCTGTGACTGACACGATAAAAAAAGAAAATTCACGCGAAGCAGAGCTATTGGAAGAAAACGAAAAAGTTCATACTCAATTTATTAAAGATAACTCAGAAAATACCGACGAACTTTATATAAACCCGGTTTCACGTGAAGTTTTTGGAATATCTGAACACAAATCTAAGTTAGATTCCGAAGAAAGTATTGAAAAAAATTCAAATATGTTTACTTCTCCTACCAATACCATGGATGAAAATATGTTACTTCATAGTGATAGTTTAAAAAGTGAAATCGATTCCAAAAATGCTAGGTCGGAAGAATCTAAACTTGATGCTGAAAACATTTTTAAATTTGCCGATTCTTTACCATCTCCAAGTGAGGATTTAGAACATGAAAAAATTCCAAGTGAGAGTCCTGATGGCAATCATGAAAAATCATCTAAAGAAGCCATTGAGTTTTGGTCTTCAAATGAAAGACAAGAACTAGATTCGGAGCAAATTAGTAAATTTAATTCACAGTGGGGAATACAAAAAAGTGTTTTACCTGAAAAGGATATGAAATCAATGGAACTGAAAACAGTAGAGGAAACTTTAGAACATCGAATGGATCCATCGGAAGCTATAAAGAGTCATCACTATACTGTAGATAACTATAAAGCTTATAATTTAAAATCTGATGATCATATTAATTCTGAAAATTTAGAGAAATTTGAGGACAATCTTATGGCTAAATCATCAGTTATTGAAGCATCAGAAAAGGAAAAAGATGTTTTGAAAATTCCTGAGCAAGGTGATTTAGAAACGGAGAAAAATGACAAAAAGTCTCAAGATTTTAAGGAAGCAATGTTGACCAGTAATGAATTCTTGGAAAAATCTGCACACCTAGATAATGATCATTTAGCGGCAGCTAAAGAAGAAATGGAGTTGCCTACTTCGTTGAAGGAAAAGCAAGTACTAACCAGCAATGAAGGACGTATACATAATAACGAAAAATTAACACAAATGAAACTCGTTAGACAAGAAGAAAAGGAAGAACTTGATAAAAATAATGGTGAAAACTTCTTAATTCAACACAAAAATGTGCCTGAAGTATATGACAGGACTAGTAATTTCGAATATGGACAATCCATGTTACATTTGGATCAAGATAAGATATTATTAAATCAACCTGAACTGACACTAAGCAGTTTAGAACACAAAGACTCTGATCAAATGCGTATATCTACATCTGAAAGTGATGATGCACTTCCAAATCCTCTAAAAGTCATTCCAGCAATTCATAGTATTGATAATGACCATTCAGCAACACAATTAAAAAGTATGACAGAAACAGAAAACTCATATTATGTTTCCGATCCTATTAATCGACTTATGCAGAATATGGAAACCCCCGAGACATCATTACACACATTGGACTCTAAGGAAGTATCTGAAAAAGAAGATGAAATATTTGAACAAATGAAGGCTGTTCCCGAAATGCATAACGAGGAAATGGTATCACAGAAGAAATCTGAAACTGATGAAAACATCTTGAACGCTGAAACAAAATTAAGGACACAAAATCAGGATGACGGATATGATAATTATGCTAATATTATAAAAACTATGAGTGATAACTACCCTGAGGAATCACATATGTTAAAATCTGTGTCAGATCAAATGATATCAATCCCATCTGATGATATTGAAATGTCAAACAATCAACATTATCTAAAAGAAAATGAAGATAATATGAGAATATCGGAAAATCAAAATGAGAAATTACACAGTGATGGAAATATGGAAGTAAACGACCGTCATTCAATAAGTTCTAATATTAAAAATCAGTTCGAGGACGTTAATGGTTTTACAAATTTATCCGATAATGACAAAATGAGGCTGTCACAAGATCAAGATCGGAAATTAGATTTAAATGGAAAACAGGAAACGCATAACCAGATGAATTCAGAAGACAAAAATCAGCTTGCAGATTATAATACTTTACAAATGTCTAAATCTGCATCCGATTTACATGACGAGGAAATAATGTCAATGCCGTCAGATGAAGCTAAACTGACTGAAGAAAATTCTGCCTTTATCCACGAGGAAAATATGAGATTATCACAAAATCAAAATGACAAATTACGAATTGACGAAAATCATAGTTTCCCTGTGGATCTTACTTCAGAATCAGAAAAAGAAAATCAGCTGGGAGATCCCGCTGGCACTGATTCGTTTTCATTGTTACCAAAATCTGTCCCGGAACTTGATGTTGATAAAACTATATTCAAGACATCGGAGGAAACAAAAGATATTACCAAACAACATACCATAATGAACGAAGAGGATAGCATGAGGTGGTCAGAAAGTCAAAATGACCTATTAAAGTTAAATGACAACCAGTACATTCAAGATCTTTCCCCTATAAGCTCAGAAAAAAAAGAGGCCATTGAAGAAGACAATACCTTAAACTTACCCAAATCGGTATCTGAAATTCATTCTGATAAAACGGTGCTCATGCCATCTAATAAGGTTGAAACGATTAACGAAGATGATTCCTTAAAATTGACAAAAGAAGAAGAACACTTGAGGCAATCTGAAATCCGAGACGTAAAATTTAATGAAAACCACGACTTTCATGTTCCTGAAGCAGATATAGAGAGTCAGCAACAAGATCATATTTCGCAGCTAATGAAATCTGCTCCCGAAATTCAAGTTGATAAAACTATATCAACAAAAACCGGAAATACAGAAGAAAAAATAGATCACTTGCTAAAAGAAGATGAAAATAATATGAGGTTTTCACAGAACAAAAATGAGAAATTACATATGAATGAAAACAACGAATTTAAAGATCATATTACTATGAGTTTAGAAAAACGTTCTGAAGATCAAAATGCTCCACAGTTACTGAAATCTGCTCACGAGTTTAACACCGATGACATGGTACCGTCACCATCAGATAAAATTGAAGAAGTCGTCGAACAACAATCTTTACAAAAACCAGAAAATATGAGAATCTCAGAGAGTCAAAATAACAAAATAGATATTGATAAAAATCATGACACTCATGTCCCTTTGCCCATAAGTTTAGATATCGATGAACAGATAAAAGATCAAAATTCACATATAGCGAAATCGGTTCTTGATTTTCATGTTTCGGAAGGAGCCTTGAATCCGCCAGATGAGATTGAAGAAACTAATGAACAACATTTAAAACAGAAAGAGGGTAGCATGCGATTTTCGGAAAATATAAATGACGAACTAAAACCAAACGAACACCAGGAGAATCACCACCACGATTCGACGATATTGGATACTGAAAACCATTTTGAAGATAGCAATACCCAACTATTACAATTACCGAAATCTGTACCAGAACTTCCTATTGATGACATTGTTTCATTAAACAAAGTTGAAATGACAAAAGAACAAAATTCTTTAAAACAAAACAATGACAACATGAAGTTTGCCGAAAAACAGAATGATAGAATTACATTAAATGAAAATCACGAACTTCATGATTCTCTTTTAAACGATCTAGAAAACAAAGAAAATCTTAATCACCACATTTCACAGCAATCAAAATCTGTGCCTGATGCTCAGGTAAATCAAATGATGCAATTGCAAACAGATAAAGACCAAATAACTGATGATCGACAACCATTAAAAAGCCATGAATCTGTAGTGAGACTGTCAGAAAAAGAAAATAGCAAAATAGAAATTAATGAAGAGCAGGATATAGCAAAACCTCTAAAGACTAATTTGGATAGCGATACCATAACTGAAGATCATACAATGCATTTATTGAAATCTGTTCCTGAAACACAGGGTGATAAAGCGATGTCAATGACATCGGAACAACTTTTTGTTACAAAAACCCAGGAAGCCTTGCCTGAAGAATTAGAGAAAAAAATGTCTGGAAATGAAAATCAAATAATAAAATTCAATGAGAGTCCAGAAACACACATAAAGTTAAGTCCAGATAATATTTCTGACAAACATAAGTTTCAGGTTAAATCTATTGCAGAATTACATAATAATGACATGATGTCTATGCCAACGAACAATGTTGAGAATGCAAACATAAGATTGTCACATAACCAATATGATGAACAAAGATGGAATTTAAATAATCATGCTACACCTGTAGACACAGTACAGACCTTTAAATCTTTGAATGAATTTGACAGTAAAGAGATACAGACAATGAAATTTGATAAAGTTCAATCTCATAATGAAGACTTTCATTTCAAGAATCAAGAGTTCATGAGATTTCCACACAATCAAAATGAAAAAGGATTTTTGAATATGAATGATCCTAGAATGAATTTGGGTTTAAATAGTGGAACGTGGAGTAGAACTAACAATGCGGAATATCCTATGGATGCTCAGACTTACTTTTCTTTAACAAAAGATCAACTATCACATGAAACTAACAGTCCAAATTCGCAAGTGCCAAGAGAAAAGCAAGGATCAAATTTAAATACATACAAATCTATACCCGAATATAGAATAGTTCCTTCAATGAATACATTTGAATTTAATGAAAGACAAAAGGCACTTAATGAACATATGAATATGAGAATTAATCAAGAAAATTTGGGTTCTGAGCACTTAGAGCATCAGCATTTTCATAATTCCTATGCAATGCCTTGGAACTCTGAAAAGCAATTTCAAGATGATTTCCAAAAAACATATAAGTCTCCCTCAGACATCGTTAGTTCCAAAAACAGTGAGTATGACGGTGAACCGATTATTCCCGACGAGGTCGCTAATATGAGAAATATTCAAGATTATGAAACAAGACAACTTGTTGATAATCATAACTTGGACGATACACAAGCAATGCGATGGGCCCAATCAAAACAACATAATAATCATTTCTCAAATTTTTATAAAACAACACCAGAAATTCATGACGAGTATGACTTCAACCCACACTTTAGAAACCATTTCCATAGAGTAGCACACAAACAGGAATTCGGTAATGTAGATACACACGGCCACGATTATCCGTCTATGAGATCGAGATTACATGATCATATGCTCATGTATCACCAAGGAAAGCCATCTGATATTGATAGCTCAATTGAAACAAGCATGCGTATGAATATGAGGGAACCTTTCACTAAGTCCGTTAAAGATTTCGGTTTTCATCATCAATATTTTAGCCATCCTTCTGGAGCAGCAAGATTTGGAACTGCATTACCTTTATCCGGTGCAGGAACAGGTGCTGTGGGAGTTTTCCCAACAGCTAATTCAGGAGGTTGCGGCATACCCTTGCTGTTAAGCTGTTCACCTTCCGTGGTTTCTGGGAGCTTAGCAAAGTCGCACATCACTGGCTCAGGGTTTAAGTCTCAAGATGAAAATGGAATGTATTATACAAACATGAAGAGAGAAGCAATGAATATCGATGATGTACCAGTTATGAAAATTCAAAAATCACACAACCACAACCAGGTTCCTATCCATGTACATGAATAAAACAGTCTTGTAACATTATCGTGACGGATCTTCAAACAAAACAGCACGTTAACACATCACAAGAGATTAAATAAAAAGTTTATGATTGATATTTATTTATTCTACTTTTCTTTTATTCCCCAGCTAAAAAATATTTTTTTTATATCTATCGTCTTACTTCAGAGTATTTTTATAAAAGTAATATCTTACTTTAAAATTTTGTTTTAGGAAGAGAATTGCATAATATTAAAAAAAATCGATTGGTTTTATTCATATTTAATAAATCTAATCAATATCTGGCTTTCTTAATATACATTCGTATTAATCTACAACAAACGAATTAATAAATCGTACTAAGAATATAAAATAAAGAATAGTTTAAATAAAAGCGTGCTATAAAAGCGTGTTATTTAGTTTTTTTTTTAACTATTGTTTCGTAATCATTTATAATCATTGAAATGATTACATTAAGAAATATATTTATTTTTTAGTTATATAAATGTACCTATAGATTTTAACTAGATTGACTCTAATTTTAGAAAATAACTGTAAACCTTTTAAACGCAATTTCTTGCATACTATTAGTACTTATATCTTTAATTTGAGTATGAAAGTGCTATAAGTGCTATATTGTTTGAAATTGTAATATAGTTATAAAAATTTCATTTATAAAAATAACAGAGCTGATAGTAACTAAGGTTCCGTAGCAGTAAACGTGATCAGGGGCCGACGAGATAAAAAATGAATTTTCTTCTCGTCTGCACGTGATAAATCAAAACGCCGGGAGTATATAGCTTTAATATAATAAAAACGTTTAGTATATCTGAAAATTTTAGTTTAATCTTAATTACCCAGCTAGTTTCGATGATTTCTGGTAAGTGAATAGTTGACTGCGTTATAAAATATTTAAAAAATCAATTACTTAAATGACATCACATGGTATCTAAAATATCTTTTTTTAAATGTATACATCTTTTTATAACTATATTTTCAAATTATTTGCCTTACAGAATTTGCAGTGACATAGGAATTCGTAATATGATACTCTTGAATAGTAGTTACTACTCATTATGCATATATTTAGAATAGTGTTTATATGACTTTAAATCATGGTGCAGTTCGTTGTAAAAGTATTAATTTTATTTCAAGCGATTCTCATTTGTAGTTCGCTAACCAACGAACAGTATGAGAAACCTAATACAATGATTATAGAAACTGTTGGTCCAATGAAAGATGAAAACTTCAGTGGAGAAGAATATCAAGATATTAATTTACAATTATGTCCTGAAAAAATCGAAAATAATAACTTCGAGGAAGCCGTGTCGGAAGACCGAAACCGTCTTAGAGATCTATATGCTGAAAATAATCTAAATATTGGATATAACAATGTACAAAAGTACTTTAACTCACTGTACAATAATGAAATATATGGGACGAATTCACTAACAGATGAGGAAGGAAAGGGGTGTTTTATCAACTATGATAATGTTCGCTACTTAAACCCACAAACTCAAATATTAGCGTCGTATAACCGCATTCCGCCAGTTCGATTCCTACCTCCAGTGTATCCAAGAATCTTGGCTAAAATACCAAGATCACGATGGACTAACGATTTTAATTATTTGGATTCAATAACCAGGCCTCAAAGGACGTTTCAAGAAGACAATCAACACTGGCAACAGTTCCAGCACGACTCTATAGTGAAAAATACCATACCGAAAGTGCCTTATCCATATTTTCAAGATACTTTTATTGATTCGGTGACAGAGAATCCTTTTTATAAAACAGATTTCACATCAAAGTATAGGTCGAAATCCGGTGATAGTGATATTCCCTTTAATTTCAGAAGCCTAAATAAAGAAAAGAATGATGAAGCGAAAAAAATTTCAGATTTATGTAACCGTCAAGTCACAAACAATTATGTTCAATAAGTTTTAATATGTAAGAATCTATGAAAAAACTTCTTATTCCGCATCATGATAATAATTCTAAGTATTTAGATAGTATTTGTAACAAAAATAAATGTCCTTGCCTTTGTTAATTGTTATCTATATTAAAATCTAAATAATAAGTGGATTAAATTTGCTTCTATAAATCTATTTTCGATAATTTAAAATCAGATAAATAATATTCTTATCTCTTTTATATAATAAAGTATTTTTTCTATTAATTTTAGTTTTTTTGTTTTTATTTAATACAGCGGATATGCCTAACACATCGTTCTATGAGTGTCATGTTTCATTGGAACCGAATGTTGTTATTGCATCATTTTCCGTTTGTATTCTAGAAATTTCTAACCAAACTTGATGATGATGATTATAACTAAATAATATTCCTTAATAATTATATTTTTTTAATAAGATATCCAATTTATAAGGTTTTTCTTTCTATGTCGTAAGATTAATAAATGGTATTCAAAGATTTAGAGTGTTCCAGATATATTAAAAAGTGTTTATTATTTCAGATTTCGAGGACTGTCCCCCTGGTGATGTAATGGGTAGAAATCTACAATGTATACCACGACGAAGAGTTCACTTTATTAATTTAAGTCATTGGGAATACTACGGAGAATAGGTTAAAAAAGAAAATATTGATGTAAAATAAAATTGTCTGAATTACATTTCATAAATAAATCAAACAAGAAATAAGGACGTTTTTGTTTGTTGTTTGGATTTTAGTGTCACATTTTTCATTTAAAATTATATCAGTGCTAAAAAGTTAATCTTACATACAAAAGCTATTTCGTAAAGATTTTTATATACGCTGCTAAATATATCCATTTACCATTTTCCGATGTCATGGAAATATTACTACCTCATTATTCTTATTAATAATTAATAGTTATTATCATAGTACTTTAGGAAATTAATCTGTTTAAAACTCTATTTGACGCGTTTGAAATTAAAATATGGTTGGAAAATCTTGAAGGTTGTATATCTTAGAATTTTACTAACGACGGAATCCTTTAATAAATATTAAATCGTCTCATACTGAAGAATTATGTTTATATATGTTGACCATTCTATAATATTTATCTACCTAAAATGAAACTCTTGTAGATACGTTTGAGTGTGATCCTAAACCAGTTTATATAAAACTAATATTTTCGGATTACTGCGGGTTTTTTATAATTTCGAACTACATACTTTCAGGTTCAGTTACTTTGGCCTGCCCGTGATCACGATTCCTGCAAAGTAATCGAAACATCGGGAGTATGTAGTATAAAATAAAAAAAACGGGCAATAATTCGAAAATATTAGTTTTATTTAAATGTATACTCGCTAAAGTATTAAATCTCATTATTAATCAATTTGTTTTTCTATACATTTTTCTTTTTATTTAAATATATGCAAACAATATGCATACGTGCTATAGGACACGCTCTTGAGTTATAGTTTTTAATGTATTACAATAATTATAAAACATTGTTATATAATTTATCAGTAATGTACTTATAGAAAACTTATTATCTATATCAAGTGGGCATAACAAGTATATTCTATAGAATAAACAACATAGTGCTTACTATTGAAAGATAGATGACTATATAAGAGCTTGTGTGAATTGAATCCACGTGTTTTTAATTAATTCACAAACACTTTATACATATTACTAGGTACTGCATTTGTTTATCATTCCAGTAAGTGATTGAAAACAAAACAAAGATTAAATAATACTGCAATAGACGTAGTATCTTTTTTAGATAAAATGATTACAAAGAAAAAAGATAACTCTTGATTGAATGCGACAAATATGTTTTTATTAATTTATACTACTATATATGTAGGAATAAATATAGTACGATTCATTTGAATAAGTAAATATATTTAAATAATGTTTATGTATTACCAAGTTCAAGTACAATTTGTAATTAAGATTTTTGACTTTGGTTTTGCAACGGTTTTTCCTACCTTGGTTAATAGAATGCGTCATTTTTATACTGTGAACTGTGTCGTCATGTTTGTACACAATATATGCGTCAGGGTGACGGAACATGGGTATAAGAAGCCAAGCCCACCAGTCTGGCCAGGGTTCGGCTTCTACGTGACGTAGACAACGTAACTGATAACGTTTGATTATATAAAACCAGACGTAGTGCGCGCAGTTGTAAATAAAACTTATTGTTTGAATGAAAACATCGTAGAAATGGCTATGAGAATATTTTTATCGCTTATTTTATTGTGTGGTGTTTTCGTTTGCCAAGCGAGACACATTCATCCCGGTAACGATGGTGGGAATTTGTATAGAATTGAAGCTGTTAATGATGAACCAATTGTAAGTATATTATTATCTTTATTGTCGACCAATGCTGTTTATTCTTTGCTCGAAATATTAATCTGATTTTATGAATATACCAAAATTATTGTTAAGTCTTGTGGTATTGAAGAAAAAAGTAGAAAACAAAATCTCAAATATATTATTTATGCTTGAATTCAGGGATGATTAGTTTTTCATTATTTTGCATACTTATTTCATCAAAACATTTTGGAAGTTATAACTCCTTGTTTAAGGCTAAAGTAAAAAATTTTGCTTGTTTTGAAGTTTGAAGTAAAATAGTTTATCAAGAACCAATAATTATTATTATATTATTAAAATGTTATATTTTCTTTCAGAACATACTTCACACATTGAAACCCACGAGGTTTGTCCCTTTAAATTCGCCACAATTTTTCAAAATTTCTGAACCTTGTAAGGATGGCTACAAACGAGACGCCATGGGTATATGTAGAGAAGTGTGGGACTAACATACATAAAATTAAGAATATTTTTTCCATTATAATTGAAGATTTGTGATATTAGTTTTAAGAAACTCGTAGTGTTCCTAAGAAAACTATTTTATACTTGCAAACATTTTCGTTTGCAAATTGTATTATATAATTTAAATAATGTATTGATATACCTAGATAAAATTAATATTTAATAAAACATTTAAATATAAACAATTATTTATTAAAAATTTAAACACCTTCCAATTTATAGACAGCAAATAGCATGCTATTACATTTTAAGTTATACATCAGTGTTTGTCTAAAATTAAATTAATATATTTTAAAGTCTTAGTAAATATTGTTTTCATTCATTAGTATACATATGATATTTATTGAAAACAAACGCATATAATAATATTATAGCCAAAAATCCAAAAAAATGTTATTTTAGTTTATTTATATATTATATGGAGTATATATAGAGTATTGGTATTTTAAAATTACCATTTACCTTGATAGTACCGGGAGATTTAACTAAGGATGACGTAATATTTTATTGGGATTATCTATAAGGAAGCCGATGATAATTACGATTGCACTAGTGTATAATTTCTTATATCCTGTTTTGATAAAATTATAAATTATATACATATAACTATTCAACTAATTTACTATTTTATATTACTTTTGATGAGATATATTAAGTTAAAAAAAGTATTAATCAAAATTTTCAATTTTTACATTCGTCAAAATATAAAAAAAAACAAGAAATATATAAAAAGAAAATAATTACGAAATAATACATAATTAACTGACAAAATTGAATACAATCACAGGACATACAAACACATTTTTTTATATTTAGAAACGTAACCGTTGATGATAGACAAAAATACTTATTGTACGGCAAATAGACCTTGTTCTTTTATGATTAGAATAGTTATAAAATATTAAAGAAGAATTTTGCTACATGAGAGAAGCAGGAGGCAGTGTGACAGCCCCATGTCCTGATAGAGGTGATGGTAGGGTTGAAACTCCACGGATCCAAGCGCCGCGCTCGCAACAATACGACTCCACATTGCTTAGAGCTCGCATATAAATCGTTGTGACACCCCCTAAACATAACGATAAGGATTACTTCCAATTATATATTAAATACAATAACTTCGAAATATTCATATGCATCGAAAATAATAAGTATAGAAATGTAGAAAATATGCTTCATATTGTAAAACATGCAGTGTAATCAATAGTATGCAAATATATGATTATTCAGTCAAATCATTCTTGAACCTTCCCATAACTATTTTTACTAGAAAACGACCTTGTTTATATTAGAAACTCACATTGAAGCACGTACGTTTCTTGTAGACATAGGTATGGACACATTTTTGTTCTATGATTCTTTGCGGTTTGCGGTTGGCTATAAAAATATTGAATATCTAATGCTATTTAGGAATCTGCTTAAATATTCCCACCTATAATAATAAGTTGAGTGCCTAAATATGCGAGTGCGTGGCCGTGTCGCGGGATAGACATTTCTGTTTCAAGTTTCCAAGCGCGTTCTTTCCAATCCCACACGTCTATTGCTCCGACGCTACTTGGAGTTTTGTCCTAAAAAAATTTTCAATTCATTTGAAAATACTGTTTGTACCAATTAAAATATCAAAACAATGCAGTTACAACTAAAATATAGATCATATATTGTTTATCAATTTGTTCTCTAGCACTACATTCAACATTTCCATGAGTAATTGAAAGAAAATATTGAGGACAACTACTTAAATTTAATATGTATAATTAAATATCATTTTGACTCCAGAAAAATATACATAATTTTAAATGTAACCTTCAAATTTATTTGTATTTATGTGATAAAAATGTTAAATAAACATTCTACTTTTATAAAAGTAGGAAAAAAACTGAAATTATTCAAATGTATGGAACCTTTTCAGATATCTTGCCAGCACCACCGATGATGTATAACTTATCGTTCATAGAGAACAACGTCGCGAAACATCTTGGAAAACGGAGACTATGGATTTGTGTCCACCTTAATAATAGCAGAAATTGATTATTAGTATTTTTTATCAATATATACACCTTAGTGATATACTGGTATTAAGACCCTAATCCGACATTTATACTAAACAAATAAGTTGAAAAAAGTTAATTTTTCAGTATTCCTATTCACGAATGTGTTTGAGGTAATATTATCAAATACAATTTCATTTTAATCTTAGGATATCTAGTTTGATACATTTAGCTAATATTATTTAGATTTCTCATGAATTATTTGTTACATCTGCTTGCTTAAATAGCATCTCTTTCTTGGAACATTTGATAAAAAGTATTTTTTGATTACTGCTGTAAAATCAAGATCAATCAATTTTTTTTTTGTGGTAAGTCCACAAACGAATACCAGAAATTATATGTTTGATAAATGAGTTTAGCTCCGGCATTTGTAACTGAATAAGCTAAGTATCGCAGAACGTTATAGCATAACCTAATAGTTATCTTACTGGTTAGTATTAGAGTTATAGCATTCAACGACGCCGCAGACCGGTCTCCTCTTCTCGCCAGTCATACCACCAGCCACCCAGATATAGTCACGATGCTTGGCCGCCGCGGCTGCCATACGAGCAGCACACATCCCGCGGACCTCGCTCCAAGAACCGGTCTTTGGGTCGAAACGCTCCACTGACCGAAGCACTCTTGAAAAGAAAGAGGCAATTTGAAAAAAAATGGTGTTACAGATATTTATTTTTGAAGCTCCGTTCGCAGAAAAGGACATGAAGTTTTCTTATATGACTAAATTTGTATAAGTGTAATACTTATAATTTGGAAAAAAACGATATCTTGATTGGTAACGTGAATTGTAATTTAATCGTTTTAATTATCATTATTTCGTAGACCTCATGGAATGGTCTCCAAAGTTATAATTGTTGCTATTTATATCATATTTGTTATATCTCACCTCCCCTTTTTATCCTGACCACCAATAGCGTATAATGCCATCCGATGTACCACCAATCCAAAGTTCTTCCTGGGTATCGCTAAACCAGATTCACTGTACCAAGAGCGTGTTACGGGTTCAAAACTCCATACTGTGGACACCACCACCGATTTGCCTCTTAGATCATCCTCACGAGGATCTGCTCCACCTTTTATAATATTTTACATAAAATATATGAATATTGTAGTATCAATACAATCGAAGTACATACAATGAAATACATTTTGATACTGATATAAAATACTAGGAGGTGTATATTATATTAAGACTATTCACAATCCGAAAAATTTTGTTTTTATGTTCATATAGAATTTAATATATGAAAATAATTAAAATTTATTCATTACTAGGTTCTAGTTTGAAAGGATTGCATACGAAAGTTTGAATCTAACTATAAAATTTTCTTCAAATTACCAACGAGAAAGACTCTTCCTCTCAAAAAGGCGACTGAGTGATGATGTCTCGGCTCTGGAAGTTCACCGACCAAATCCCATGTGTTTGTAACGGGATCGAATCTGAGACATGGACATAGAAGAATTACTAAATATTATAATACTCATTAAAGTTTTTAGCAAGTGTTCTAAACATATACATTGCTTACATTTACGACAAGGTGAAGATACTATGATGACTAGTATTTAAAACTACTAAAACGTATTTAAAATATAGTGTTAAATACCTATAAATATCTTTGCCTGTATTGCCCGCCACGCCATAAGAAGTATGTGGATCTATTCCACCAAATACCAACACTGTTTCTCTATCCCAATTGAAAAGGGAGCCATCCGCGATGTAGTTCTTGTTCGATGGGCCAAGTATCGATGTCGATAATTTATTCCTAATAAAGAATTAGAACATGTAAACGTTAAAAAATTCCTTAAATTATTTGCTCTAACAAACAATCTGATGTTGACATGGTAAATACAAAAATTCGGAGGATCGATAAGGCTCAGACGTAAGCGGTGTCTGTTTATGCAAATACAAGATAAGGATGTTATTTCAAATTAATAAAAATTTTAGATCGTAAAATTTCAAAACAGGTAATTCTTGAACACCGCAAAAACAGAAAAAAGTATTACATATTAATTCTGGCCAGCGATTCTTTAGATTGGTTAAATATTGAAGCTTGTGGGCTAAATTTCTTGGTAGCTGTTGGGGATGTATTCGCTTCTGTTCTGCTGGTGTTTGTAGTTTGACCACGAAGTGTTGGACTCTGAGAATCTCTGTAAAAAGAGACGGATTTTTTTAATTCGCTTATTACAATCGTTTTAAAACAAAATTATAACACCCTAGGTCGCAATAAAAGAAAATATACTACATAGAAGTGCAAGATATTGTATTTTTTAAAACTACATTCAATATTAATTTACAACAATTTGTTGGCAACATTGCAATTACTTTTTTGCTCGCTAGCATCACCCACTGTAACTCGCATCCATAATAATTATTGGCTTAATATGCGTGAAAGCTTTTTATAAGGACAAAGTATAGTTAATATATATTTCTTTATAAAATACAAACCTTCTAGATCCAGTTAGTGCTGCAGTAGCTGCAGCGAGGTAGCTGGCCGCGATACTATGTCTCCTTTCGCCCTGCTTATGTATGTACGCCATCTAGTAAAGAAATAAATATTACTAAAGGTATACATTTTATTATGAACTTCTCAAACTTACTCATGAATGAAATTGAAGTATTTTGGGTTTGTAGCTAAATATGTCTAGAAAATAATTATAGCCTTGAAAATTAATGAGGCAAATGCACTGGTAGACGTATTTTAACAGTAGGTAGGTACTTAGAATATAGCTCATTTATGAAATGTTCCTAAACTTTATTCTAAGAATAGTAAACAAAACTAAAATAAACACATATCGCCTGTTGACTATTAGTTCATGGTATTAATGAATATGTGGTTAATATCTTTTCCAAAATAACTGTTGATTTAATACATTTACAAATAACAATCTTCATTCTTAGAAGTTAATTGTTCCTACCATTTAATCGCCTGAATGTGTAAGTCTTTATTATTATAGAATTGATATTTCAACATGATACGTGTTAGTAAAAAATAATCTTAATAAGTTTTTTTAATGTATTTTTTTGTTATTATTATAGTTCTTCAAGTGACCAATATAATATATTTCTTTCTCACATTATCAGTGGTACTGGTACCGACCATTTCACTGCTCGTCTCGCTCGTAGTGTTGAGATCTTCCGCAGAATCTTTTTCGGGTTGTTCATATATTTTCGTGGTGTAAGGAATCTATAACATACACTTAAATTGAATTTCATTATATTCAACAATTTCTAAATATCTTTTCAGCAGCTATAATTTTATTTTTACATAATAAAAAATAAAGATATAAAATAAATAAGATATACAATAAAAAAATAAAGATAGAAAATAAATAAAAATAAATTGATATTACATGAGACGGTTGTAACTTGCACATATGTATTTCCTGTATTTGTTTGCAACATTGCTGTGATGACGGTGATTGTACTGTACGATTTTCCTGAAATAATATAGCATTTACCGTAAGTTAAATCCAAAACGAGCCCGTCAGGTACATTTTAAACCTTTTGAAGGCGAAGATGTAATTTTTTTTAAATCACGAATCTTCTGTTAGACAAAAATAAAGTTAAAAAATAAGATCACTTAAATTCTATGACGAGTTGATAACATTATAATAATTAATCTACTAGGATACTAGCTTCGCTTTTTTTTGGTTTTTGCTCGATGTTAGTGTTCTTTCGTTCATGTGAAACAGATTGTGCTGCGTTATCAACGGAAGGTGGCGAACGACTTGGAGATGGACATTGACTTCTTCCTCTTTCCTAAAAATAATCGCTTATTTTGAAACACTAGAATTTTAAAATATAGTCAATACTGATAAAAAAATAGTATAACTGATATTATTAATAATTTCAAATACATTTAGCATGAATCGCCAATAAAATAACTTCTATATAAAATGATGTTAAACAGATGTTTTCTACCTTATTACGGGTTTCATAAAAATCACCCATTGTAGGAAACTTTTCCTTGTCGCCGGTTAGGCCTTTTAAAGTTGCTGGTAATGGAAAGTCCATTTTCGGTCTCTTCATATCCATAGTATTGTCTAGACCACGCATGTTACCTGATATTATTAATTGATTGATAGAAATTAATATCAAAACTTTAGATTGAAATTTTTCTAAGTAATAATAATTGAAGAGGGTTATTGTGGAAATGTCTGTAGTCATCAGTCAAAAAAATCAATCGAAATATATCATTCATTCGCTAGTTTTAGGTAATAATAATAAATAATATCCACTATGTTAAAATTAATTATAATTTTGTTAATCGTTTACCCGGACAATCATCACGCTTCGTGGTTTGCATCATAGCCATATGTTGATACATTTGTTCCTTTGGTAATAAAAATTGCTCGAGATATTTTAAGAAATCCCTGTATGTGCCGTGATTCTGCAAAACATGTGCTCTTTATACGCAACTGTTATCATTCTTGGAATATGAGATTTAATAATTTTCCTCGTGTGCAATATATAATTGCTAGTGATAATTCGATATACCTTTTCTTCGCCTATCCAGTTTCTTTCGCATGGTTCACTAAGACCCAGCACGTCGATCCAATGATAGTAATTCTTTGAATTGTTACCATACCAATATTTAATTATGACATATCTGTAATGATAATTAATTAATATGATATTTTTTTTATTTATTTAAAAAACTTTATTGTCTAACTACACACGTAGATACAATAGGTGGACTTAATGCCTGAAGGCATTCTCTGCCAGTCAAACCTTAGGAAAAGCAGAAAAACATGAAGACGGTTGCAGTATGTAAAAGAAAAATATACATATAAATTTCTATTGATATATAAATAATATTTACACATATATATAGATACATATACATACACATACAAATACATATACATACACATACATATACATACACATACATACATATACACATACATACACACACATACCAATAGATATATACTATATACCAAAACAATAATAAAAACAGAGACTTAATACAGATTCTGAGCAAAATGTTCCTGTACACGACGCCTGAAAATTGCCCTTGTAGGTGCCTTTCTTATTTCTAATGGAAGTTTATTCCACAGTCTGATAGATAGAAGGAGTTAGAGAGGAAACTAGAGTGGTGGCTGGGAAAAGAGAGGAGGAGAGAGTCATTAGAGCGTAGCTGTCGAACATGATTGTCACAGAGAAATTTAAAATTATCTTTTAAGTAAGGAGGAGATTGGGGATCAAAAAGAATGGAGAAAAGAAGACACAATATACGTAAATATTATACTTGGATTCTTCCATACTAATTCATTTATAACATTATTTTATAATAGCCATTATCAATACAGGGACAATAAGTACTGTTAGCTGTAAACCGTGTTTGCAAAAACTTATCTCAAGTATTAAAGGAAAATAATGGTTAGTCACGATGATGTTAATAATAATAACTCAATATATGAATAGACGTAGCTAAAATGTTTGATAAAACATGAAACTATAGGTAGCTTCCCGATTTGTCATTATCCTGTACATACGTTTGTTACTAAGTGAGGTACCAAAATGTTTTAGAATGCATTGCTGACTTAGATTCGGCTTTAGTTTTGGAATAAAAATGGTAAATTTTAGTGAAAAATCTCTAAGACGTAGGAATTTAAATGAAAAACTACTACTCACGCGAGCCCATCATCCACCATCTGTTGTATCTCGGCTTCGTTAATGATTTCCAAAATCTCAGCATTGTCTGGGTTTCTCTTAATGTCAACCAATTGCCAGGGCGAGATTAGTCCAAAGCGAACGCATTTCATCACTTCTATGGAATATCGTTTTCTATTTGTCCAGTCCCCGTACAACCACCTGATGCCAGCCATGAGAACTTCTATTTCACTGCATGTCAAAAAATTCACGTTAATTTCCTTTTATATCAAGAATTGTTACGATTGAAGGAAGTTATATAAGAACAACTTTATATGAGAAAACGTTACTTCATATTTAATTTTAATACATTTACTGAAGTTGGTAGTTTTGTATGGTATTTTTTTTTATAATGAAAACAAAATATGTAACATGCACTAGCAAAAACATTTTTTTTACTATTATGGCTATAATATTTCATAAAACAATGACATTTTGTATAAACTAAAATGATATTTATTTGTCTGATACTTGTTATTTTAAAAAATACCTCGTGACGTTGATATAATTAGATTTCAAGAAAGTCATCACTTCATCTGGTTCCAGTTGAAGGAAGTCATTAGAGGCCACTAGTGGTAAGAAAAATTTCATAACACGCGGTACCTACAATAAAATATAATTGCAATTGATATATTGTAAACTAGGGGGTAATAAAATCTGTCTTTATTTCTTTTTACCATGATATCCATAACAGGCACCAGTTCTCTAATTCTCGCCTCTCTATACAAAACAAAAGCCGTGTCTTCGTTAAAAATATGCTCGTTGAGAATAAACGACCAACATTGATCTTCCAAATCTGTCTTAGGAAAATGACACGTATGTAAAAATTCTCTTATAAGTTTGCGAATTAAATATATATACAGATAATGTGTATCTTTACCTTTTATGGCCAAAAACTGAGCTGCACAAAATAAGTCCAGAATGTTATCTTTTCTAAAAATACGATTGCCTTCTTGACCGTTTGATATCATCCATTCGTAAATGATATGAAAAGCTTCTGATGTCACATTGTCCTGGAACATAATTTCGTCATACATTTTACTGTCTACTTAACTGACTATTATAATGAGATCTAAGATTTTCGTGAGTACTCATTTAAATGATAGTAATATTTTCGGATTTACTACGAGTTTTTTATTTTTGACTATAAACTACATACCCGACGTTTCGGCTACTTTACAGCAACCGTGATCACGGGCAGACGAGATGTGTCTGTCAGTCATTCTTGTTATTTTATCACCTACCGCCATTGATTTCTTATTCTTCTGACATACCGCTCTGGATGCTGGCAGAATGAGACAGAGCGGTACGCCAGAAGATTATGTAGTTTATAGTCAAAAATAAAAAAAACGCGTTGTAAATCCGAAAATATTAGTTTCATTTTAACTTACTACTGTTTCTACTGAAATCACATTGTTTTCTTTTCAGTACTTACTTTGGACAACTCAATAACATGTTGGTTATTGACGTCAAAAAAGGCCGAATATATCTGAAGAACTATACGATGACAGAGAAATTCATCTTTACCAATACGTACAACTGTATCTGTATTGCTAAAAAATAAGGATATTAGGACTGTCACCAAATAAAGAAAATTTTCGGGAATAACAATACTATTAGTTATGACGTTTTTTTAACTAAATAATGTGGTATTTATTTGACATTGATTATAAAATTGAATTCCACTCAAATCATTTCAGTAATAAAATAAAATACTATAGAACAACAACTATTTAGAGACTTTATCCTGTATAATTATATGATTTTATAAAAATTTATTTTATTGTGTTTTTATAATTACTATTCCTGAAAAATTTTATAGTTATTTTTTATATTTTTCAGTGGATAACTCTTTTTTTACCATTTCTTTTGCTTTGAGTTGTAATTTGAGTTTATTGTCTTTAATCATGCAACTATGAAATATCATCGAATATAATTATTATACTATTTCTAGGGATGTTTGAAAAAAAAATTGATTTACAAACTGTGAGAACATACATAAAATTATGTATTCTTCGATAAAATTCTTGAAAAAGATCTTGTTTTTTAGGTAACTGTACTCTCGTCCAATCAAGTGTCTCTGCTTGTACGTAGCCAAGGCTGGCTAAATCTCTTCCTTTTTCTTCTTTCACTCCATGTGATTTCTTATTAGAGTTTCTAAAAGTACCAGCGGTTTTGGCATGTGCCGCGATTGCAACTTTAGGTCCAAACTGAAGTTGGGGCTCAGAGTCATTGCTGTCATCCTGTCATATATTACAGAATAATAATCTGAATGATTTCATTCAATAAATTCGCAATTGCATTCAATAAATATATTAATAGGTAAGGGAAAAACAATCCATTTTTTTTTTGTTAAAATAGTGACTTTATTTAAATTATTCTATCTTGTCCGATTTGGGTAAAATATATATATATAAATCATTTCATTATATATATTATTGTAATTTAAGGGTAGCTTCATAGTGTCGTTGTTATAGACCTCTTGGTCCCTATTAGTGAAAAACTCGAGTAATCGATTATAACTTTTTTAAACCTATTTCTACAGTTTTTCCCCAACCATTATTTAAGACACGTATTTGGAGGTAAATAGTTACTAACAGGAATTTGGCGGTCAGTTTGATCCTCGGTTGCTTTTCCTTCAAATTTAACTTTAACTTTGGCTTGAGTTGGATCCGCTAAAAGGACGCCAACGGTTGACGATTGAAACACTACCTAGGTTATAAAGTTATTAATAACGCATACAAGATCTCATTCTTAATATTAAGTAAGATGTTCTCACCTGATTTGATTGTACTTTTAAATTTCCACTAGGCGTAGGTTTAAATGGGAACGCAGCTTTTTGGGCGTTAATTTCCTCCATGCTGCAAATACTGCAAATGAACTAAGTTAATTAAAGTTTTATTTTTTGTACCTGTGATATGATAATAAATGACAAATTTACCTGAAATTTTCACCACAAGATGATGCACTGTTATCTTTTTCGAGGTTTCTAATATATTCAGTGGCAAATTTTGAGGCGTATGTTTTAGTAGAAAGCATTTGAGACTTCTTTTTAGATTTTCTAAAGAGGTTATTAAAAATATATAATGATCTTTTCTATTCGGAGACTAATAAAAAACAGGTTTTAATTATTTTACTTAAAAGGTTTATTTTATGTTAAATCAGTTAATACACTTGGAAAAACAGAATTTTGTTAGGACTATTTACGCATTTAATGTTTGTTGGCTATTTGATTGTCCGGAAAAATTTTGCTAATTATTATTATATCTTATCCTTATAATTAGTTTTCCTCAAATGTGTAACAGCTTTATTATTTTCCTTATTAATAAATAGCAATAAAACATAGTTTTCTGTTTTACGTCAATTAATATACATACATAGATACTTACTTTCCTTTCAATTTTAAAGACATAAATGGCTGTTCTATTAAATCTTTAGACCAATATATTTCCGCGGCGTCTCCAGATGTTTCATATATTATTTTATCCAAACGATTTTTATATAAATAATTTTTCGTATCCTTTAGAAAGTCTAGTGCTGAAATTTTTGGAATTTTGAGGTGAAAGTACTACAATACGAATAACATTAAAAAAATTAAAATAAATTTGGATTGGTTTGAAGAAAAAAATGACAGTATGAAAATGACATCATTATCTGTGTATTTTTTTTTTATAAATAAAAAAAGTATTGAAAACAAAAGAAGTACTAACAATAGTGTGCACTCACAAAAATCGCTTGAATTCGGAGAGAGATCAGATAAAGAGCTACTTCTATGGAGTTTAGGCTTAATTGTTATATGGTAGCGTTCCTGTAACTGATATCTTTTAGACCGCTTTTTCAGTCCACAACTAAAAATAACAGACGGTGACAGACGGAGTGTTTATTTGTAAAGGTTACTAATTAGTAATAAAAAATCTCACCCTGGACTCGTATGCACATTAGCGTGGGATGAATTTGAAACATTGGTATTGTGAACCTGATGGAAGTAATAATATGTAAGGTAAAGATAATACGAAACATATTTTACATTAGAATCATTCAGAAATGTATAATATCTCCATATATTATGTTATTCTTGGACAATAAAATCGCAGAATATGATGTTTTAAGGGTTAAGTAGAAAGCAGTTTAAAAAGGTATAGAGAAATGTCTTTACGCATTTTATTTGCACGTAAACAATATTATTAGTCTAGGCATTTATTTGTCTTTACTTTTTTTGTTTGTTTGGGAACCATTACTTTTAATTAATATATGTATATATTTATACATATATTTTAAGTAAATTCTACATAAAATAAGATAAATCATTTAAACATCATTCCATTTGTATGTTAATTTTATACGCTTTTGATCACGTGTCTAATATGAAAAAATGTCTTTATTGTAACAGTTTCAACGTTATCTTTGAACTCATCTAAAATATCCTTTCCGTACCTACTTCTTACTGAGGAAAGAAATAAACCTATAATAAAACCACAGTTCATTTAGAGGAAACTTCTGTGTTGTGCTAGAATTTTATTTTCGAAATAAAATTATCTATTTTTGTATGTTTATTAAACTCACCTGATCTTTATATCAAGCCGATTATGAAGCCAATAAGTATAATTACATCATAACGAAACATTCACTTCACTAAATCATTTGTATTATACAGTGGATATCGATAGTTTTATGTTAATATTTATTATGAAATTAAAGAAAATTAGGGATATTTTAATATTTTGAAACCAGTTTTTATGCTTCATAATAAATTATTATGTATCGAGCGTTTGAGAATATCAGAAAATTATTAAAAAAATTATATTATAAGTGTACATACTCACTTTTTCCAAACTATTACTCCTTATCATTTCAAATTCAGAGAACGAGTAATGTAAGAATATGGAACATATTGCACATAAAATTGTCCTTAAACTTTTTAAAAATGCCCAAAACTCCTTAAAAATTTTTGACAGTATTTACCTATATACAATGAATTGAAGTGCAATGTCATACTAAAAATATTCCAGGTCCAAATAACGATAAAATATTAAATGACAGTTGTTTTTTTTTTCTTTTTTGGGACAGGAGCCTGAATAAATACTTCTTGCGAACCCCTAGTACATGAGCTATTAGGGATAAAATTCTATTAAAAATACTCCTATCTATATAATACTTAAGTAACAACAAGAATTTAGAATCCAAATATACATTGACCATGTTAAATATATATCGTTTTACATTTAACATGTTAAATATATTCTTGCTTTTCTTTCAATTTCGGTCATAGTTGGTGGGTTTATTTAGCTTTCTTTTACCTTTATATTTTTCAAAGGATAAATTATTTTATTTTATATCCAAATCAAGAGTGGTAGGTGGTAGAGCCTAGTTGAGGTCAAGTAACTACAGATCAAACGTGGGCTGGCTTGACGGGAGAATCGGCGTGAAGTAGCCTCTAATGTCTACGTTTCGTCCGATGAGTGAAAGATCAAGTGGCATTTTCCCTGTTTTCAGCCTTTTCTGTCATTTTCTTTTTCCTACACCTCCACCTTTATAAACAACCTAGGTTGGTAACGCATGTCCATGGGTGTCCTTGAGCGACGATGGCTACTATTTACCAAGTAAGCCGTCTGCCCGTGTAAAAGAAATAAAATGAATGTAGCTCTGACTTCGTCAGCATTTAAGTTAATTACAAACCCGCTTCAGGATTAATAAAGCAAAGATTCTTTTATTTTATTTCAGATTGATAGAACGACTGACAAACCAAGAAATAACTTTTTCGGAAAGCCCCGTGTTTGGTCACTTTTAATTTATATGACAAATTCATTTATAAATTCAAAATATATAATAATTAATATGTGGAAGAAGTTTGTCCGTTTGTAACATTTATTAATGCATGATTATATACACCTCATTTAAGTTTTATTGTGATATCCCAAAACAAGTGAGCACAAAGTTTAATGTACATAGAGGATACAAGTCTGTCAAGATGAGAGGTAAAAAACAATGTTATTTTTCTATTCTATAGCTTAATTTTCTCACCGACACCTAATGCTATCTGGTTTTCTATTTTTATAAATTAAGGAAATTTGAATGACTACCTAAGAGTAATATTATTCAATTTATATGATAAAAATACAATAAATAACATTATATTTACATAAGAGACTAAAATAAAGAGTAAATCTTACGGACGACATATTTTTATTTGTTTAAAGATATTTCCTATTGGTTTTATTAATCGGTCAAGTGTAACTTATTGAGACGTACAGGTGTTCCGTAGTGATGGAACGATACAAGGTGTTTAATTTAAAAAACTAAATGAAAGAGTTAATACATATATTTATTTTTATTAACTACTTGATTAATGTCATATAAATAAAATAAGCCTTCATAAACAATCAAATCGAACACTTCATTGTAAATTCTATGGAAGAATTAATTACAAATCGTTATTAGTAATGAAAGTTAAATATGACGCAATTATGTAATTTAACGATGGAAATTATGTGCATGTATTAACATATTTTCCATTGATATAAAATATTTTTATGAATGGAAACATTTGCTGGCCATCATCATTTTGTTTCTCACAAACGTATTATAGAAGCAAATAATCCTAAACATTTGCATGTAATTGCTAGCTGACTAAGTATGACGCTTGTTGCATTTAATTAAACTGCATTACGTTGGACAGACTTGTATCTGACTTTACTATAAATACATGTGTGATAAAATACTGTGCTAGTGTACAAGTACAAAGATGGCTTCGCAACAAAAGGATTCAAATAATGATAGTAAGTTATAAAGTTTCGTTTTAATTATTCAATATTTATATTAAAAGTGTTTGAAAAATTATTAGTAAGTGTCAAAAATCCATTAAAAAAACCGTCGTTGCTGTGTTATCTATGAAATAAGATGATGGAAGGACATTATTTGTTTTAGAAAAACAAGTGACTGGTGATCGTATCGTTTTTCCTGGTGATAAAGATGAAAAAGCTGATTTGGCTGAGGCGGCAGTGGAGATAAAATCTAATTCCATTGAAGAGAGTAAAGCCTCAACGGGTAAAATAGTGTTAACCAACAGAAATTTCATTCAGACACCTCCGAATTGTCCCCCTGGACAACAACCAGACAAGGATGGCGTTTGCAGGGATGTGTTCTAACCAAATATTAATAAAATAACCTATTGAATCTCTAAACATGAAATAAATGTTGTTTTATTATAATAATTGAATTTTAAATAAACTTCATTGGAATGTGTGTTTTACTATGTGTGTTCCAGTACGAGAGTTTAGATGACAAAATGAAATAATTTAATAAAGATATATGAAAAAGTATGCAATTTACTAAGTAATTTATTAATAATTTACTTTAAACTCCTGAACGAATTTTAGTTAAAATTACTGTTGTGTAGATTGTAACAGAACGTAAATCAACGTTGTAGATACGAGTAGTATTCAGAGTTATTGAAACTAAATTGTGTACCAAGAAAAACTAAAATAAACTTCATATATTCGTATGACTGGTTCATATCATGTCATGTTAGAAAAACTAACAATTATAGCGAGTTATTTCTATTTCATCACTTTATTAAATAACGTGCAATTAACAGAAGTAATAAAAATATCTAACAACACAGATCTGAGTAAATAAAAGGCTTTATGGACTAAATGCAGTCTATTCCAAGTAACCTTAGTTTAGATAATAATTACTTTATATATATACATTTAAGATTAAACTCTATACTTATATATAAAAGAAAGTGGTGTTACTTACACTATTTATAACTCAAGAACGGCTTTACGGGTTTGGCTGAAAATTGGTGGAGAGATAGCTTAGAACAAGGGAAAGGACTTAATTTTTATCAGATTGAAAAAGAAAAAGAATAATAATTTGATCAAATCCAAACTCTTATCTTCTGTCTTAAGGTGCAATAGGATTCGCCCGGTTAGAAGTCGTGGGCAAAACCTAGAGTTATTTATGTATAAAAATAGTACCAAATATTTTATGATAATTAATAAGTATATGGAACTAGTTACCATATAAGATTTTCATTGCATTATATTTTCAATATTACTCTGATATATAATATTAAAAATACCTATAACTTCAGTATCTAGAATGATAGTAGTGAAGTTTTGAAAAATAGAGCTGTAAAAATTGACATAGCTATAAAAATATTTTTTATTATATGACGAGAGTCTAAGGTACATATATATGAAAAACTTATAGGATATCTGTAAAAATATCAAAAATACAAACATATTATGAAGTCTATACATACAGTACATATAGTCAATTGCAGCTAGAAATTTAATTTCCTTGTGATAAATCTTTTTCATTCAATATAAACTGAATCAGGAATCTAATTCTAAAATAAAATTCCTTTTATATAAAATGTCACCAAACAGGTAAAGAGTGACTTAGTTATGGCATGATATAAAGTAAAGCTAGAGACCTTTTTAAGTAGACTTTACTCCTAAAACAAAAGAATAATAATGAATAGTACATTTAATCGAAGGTAAGGTTTTCGATTCTATTCGTTTCTTATTATTTTATATCCTGACGTCTCGGTTCCTATACAGCAACCGTGATCACGGTCAGACGAGATGAGAGTGTCTGACACGCTAAAATCTTTGATATCATTAGTAGTGGATATAGTACAAACGATTGTTATATAAGTCTGAAGGAGGCAAACGAGAAGGTAGTCCTACTTATGGTCAATGTACAGTGTTCTTGGCGAGATAAGAGGAATTTAAGTTGCTGTGTCCTTTAAAGCACTCTTGAAGCAATAACATTGTCTTTTTATTTCTTAATTACGTACGAGCCTGTTCTTCTATCATTATTTTATTGATTATATTCAAAACTCTATAATCCTATATATTACATATATGAATAAAGTAATTGATTTCCTCCTACAGTCCTATTATAACAATGTGTTTTCACTGTCGCAATTCAGACGTTTAAAAAAATATTTTTAATGTATGTTATTAACACTACATAATTTAATAATTAGACATCCCTCGATGGATAGTTTTATGTAAATCATTATATTTCTTATAACTGTTGTAAATAAATGGCTCATCTTATTTTTTTTATCGTAACGAGATTGACATAAATACTAAACAACTTAATAAGAATTCTAAATTAAAAACCAAAAAATTAAATTTTGCTTATAGATATAGAACAGAACTTAATAAACAGACAAGGGAAATTATTATGTTAGTTTAATGTGATTTTTTTTCGTAATTCATTACGAAATATTCTACACACATAATCTTAATCATATCTGGGTATAGCCAGAGTAATTTTTGTGATATAATTTTATAACATCAATGTGAGTCATAAGGATTCCGGTAATCGTAATCTGGGAATCATTGTTAATCGAAAAGTGGGAGGGGATATGATTATATATGACGCAGTCATGTCGGCACTAGAAGATAAAAGCTTTCTATATTAACAGGCACTAGGTAGACAAGTGCCAGATCAATCTAGAGATTGTAACGAGATTTTAAAGTGAAAAGAAAATTGCACTACGGTAAGTTATGATTACTTTAAAAAGTCTTCTAGGCTAAGAATTTGAATTTAACTATTAAGTTTTAGTTTGAAGTTTAGTACATACATATGTATGTGGTCATTAATTCCTTTTTTTAATTTGTTTAAATTAAAAAGAATTATATGTGTTTTTTGTTTCATTTATTGGGTCAGCTGTCTATTGTAGTGTTAATTGAAAATATAAATTATTCCCATTAATAAGATGTAATAAAATTATGTTAATTGTTACATTAAAATCAAAAATTATTTTTCATAAAGGGAATAGTATATTATACTGTAATTTCTTTTAAGAGGCAATACATTTTATTTTGAATTTGCTTTTAAATCTTTATAGAAATGAGCGCGACAAACCAAGAAATCATCTCTGATAAGGAAGATGTTCAGGTGAAGACGAGCGAAATACAAGAAGCCACATCCAATGTCAAGGAAGATGCGAATACTGAGAATATTACAAGTGTGCCAGTCATGAGGAATGCTATCATAGCCCCGCCAAACGTGCCAGTCTGCCCTCCTGGCATGATAATGGGTTCAGATGGAGTGTGTCGAGATCCCTTCTAATTAAAATTATAATACCTATTAAAAATTACATAAAAGTATTATTATTGATAAAAAAATTAAGGATCTGGCTAAATAAATTCGATTAAGTGATTTTTTCGTTTGACAATAAAAATATTTTCGAATAATCAAAATTATTTTATTGTATGATGTCATAGATATTTGAAAGATAAAAGATATTTTTTTGCGGTAGTTTCCCGTTTTATCGATGACAAGTGATAAATAAATTTACGTCATGTCATTAATTAAATTGTAAAATTGTATTGGTAATATTTATAATTAATCAACATGCATACATCAAATTTTACATTTAATTGAAACTGATACTAAATAATTTAATTACTCTAAAGGTTTCATTTCATTATAAAGGTTTTAATATTCTTTTGTTTCAATATATCCTTTGGCTTACGTAATTGGTAATGATAATATAAAATTAATTTTAGTATTGTTAGGTCTAATAAAAGACTAATGATTTTTTCTCACTTTTAAACACGAGAAACTTATGATTACGTCCAGATATAAAGGAGTTTTATTGAATTAACTGGCTGACCCGGCGAACTTCGTACCGCCCTGTAATGAAGAAATAATACTGTTACCTTTTTATCAGAATGAAGTTAATTTCTTTATTAAGTATAACTGACCCGACAGACATGTCAACTCCGGCCACAGACCAAATCTGACCGATATAAAATTTTGTTTTAATATTTTCTTTGTTTGAATGGCAACTACGTGAATATAACTGCCAGTGACACATTATTTTATACACATAAAAAGTGAAATGTTCCAGTAGTGTTTTTTCTATTATTTTTCGTAATTTTTTCCTACATAGGAACCACCTCATAATAACAAAAACAACAAAAAAAGAATTAGCGAAATCGGTCAAGCCATTCATGCGTGATGTCTTGACCAAGGGAAAAAGGTATTCATTTATATATATATAGATTATTAAAGTTAATATACAGTTTGTTTTTACACTTTTGTTTTCAAAAAATTATTGGTAATATGGAATTACATTAAAATTTGTACTATGTTGAATAGAAGTTTGATCTGTTTAAGGTGCCATTTTAATTGATGATGTTATCTTCTATATATATATAAATGGATTGCTGGTCCTTAGTCTCGCTAAAACTCGAGAACAGCTGAACGGATTTATCTTATCTTAGTCAAGACTAAGACTAATCATTTCAAGAAATGTTCGTGGAGGTTCAGGGAAGGTATAACAGCTGAAAAAAATTGATTCATTACTGGGAAAACCATAAAAACAGCCCTTTTCTATTTCCCATACAAACGTTTTTTTTTTGACATTAGATTTGACAACTAACTAATATGTCAATCATTCTGTCGCACTTAAAAACATTTATGATTTACAGGTAAAGTCCAAAAATATAAATAAAAAAGATAGATATTTCTTGATTATAGGGCGATACGAAGTTCGCCGGGTCTTCTAGTAAATGATATAATACAATAAAATTATTTCTTCCACTTCATGGTACTCTATGATAACACAAGTACCCAGTCTATTTTCGTAGATACAATATTATTACTACTACTTGCTTGTAAAAAGTTGTTATCATATTTAAACAGTAATATATCATAAAATCGGATAACGATTTTCCTATCTGTGAAAAAAAATTCTTCATACTTCAGTTAGTTTATGAAAAAATAAGCTAGTTTTGGTTTAAAGTTTTCTTTTTAAATTAATGGTTCAATTATCATTATATTGTAAGTTATACTGAATTATAAAAAGTGTGTATTACTTACAATGAAGATTTCGTTACCAAACTTTTTGTTCATAAGTATTGGATGGTATCAAAATTAAACGAGTCCCACAGCAAATGAATATACAAAAAAATATTCTCCGTTTAAGAAAATTTATTTAAAAGTCAAAAGAGATTCATTCACTAAAAGTCTAGTTAGATAAACGTCTTCAAAATATCTTTTTCAAGCTTCTATTATAAACTGATTACATTATCCCACTCTTGAATTCATAGAAAAACATCAGTTAGCTGAAGAATACAAGGAAACTTAAACAGATTGCAGATGTTCTAATTTACAATATTTGTGCCACAAAATTTTTGTTTAGTCTCGGAATTTATTTTAAATAATAAACAAGATATAATTATTACAGTTTTTTTGTATGCTTAAAAGAAAAAAATAGAGGGTATACAGTTAAGAATTTTTATTGTACTAATAAATAATCAAATAGTCTTTCATATTTTGTCTAAAATATATTCCCATATATATAAATATAAATGCATTACGTATATATACATTAAATCATATATTCCAGTACATACCTATTGTTTGAAAATTTACACAAGGTATGTTACCTACATTAATGTACCCATTTAAGGTAATTACAATCACATATTTAATACTTTGTATTATATATACCTATTAATCGATAAACTGCCATTGTACTTACAATAAAATGTATTCTCAGGATTCGTAGTAATATATGGTCAGTATAATTTTTAGGCAAAAAATAACTTATAAAGGCACAATAAATGAGGTCTTCAATTAACTTAATAAACGAATGCCGAATGAGAGATAAAAAATGCGTTTTAGTATAAATCATTTAATTTGGGTAAAAAAACTATACACAAAGACTATTCTGTCTCTAAGAGCGGTGGTCCCAAGTTAAACACAAACCAAATGAACGTAAAGGTCTTTTGATGATCTTATAACCAATTATTTTTTTCTTAGAACGCAGGATTATGATCACAATACAAATAGTAAAAATTGGTTTTTCCACAATCGCGACAATATTCTATAAATTCTATGATTTGAGAGTATCTTAATAATGTATCTATATTTTTGTTAACCTTTTTCTTTTACTAAAATAAAACATGTAAATATATCTCTATTGAGATTTAAAAAGATTTTAATTAAAAGTTTCATTTTCTTTATTGTGCTAAACTCAATTAATTTTCAATACACTATATATATTTCTTTTTCATTCAAGAATGGTATGTATTTATTCATTTAAACTTGACGATTCTATAACAAAATATAATAATGTTACTTATTTGTATAAAATTCTAAAGAAATAAACAATGTTGTAACTTAATAAACACGACGAAATTATTGATAAGTGATATAAAATTGACATACATACATGAATATTTCGAACGGAAGGAAAAATCGTTTTTGGTAAGTCTCATTTATAGCTTGATAAGAATATGATGGCATAAGTCGAAGTATTTATCATCAATATTAAATTCCATGTAATTCGTATATTTAGGGGAGCGCCAGTGACTAATAACGTGTGAAGTTAGCCACTTCGATCTGTATATATGTAGGACGGACTAAAGTAATAATCAGTATAAGATAAATAGCCACTTGGAACGCTGTGTTTTGAGATACGAATAAAATTTCTGAGTGCTATTTGAAGATTTGTTGAAAATCACATTTATTGTGTTAAGGTATGGACTTATTTTTATAACTTGTAGTTAATTATCACTATGTCTTAATGGGTGTTAATTCTTTAAAAGTATTTTTTCCCCTACGTATATTTTTTTTAATGTCTTTACTTGATAATCTGAATTTAAACGTCGAAAACAAGTGATGTTAAAATATCTATTGGAAAATATTACATTTTAATATTTAATGTTAACAGTCAGTGATGCGATAGAAAAAATATTTCTCAAAAAACCTTACAACAAATGGAGTCATGACTTCCATTACTTTTTTTGCTTTATCAGATTGCTTTAAATTCCAAGTTTACCGATAGACGAGGTCTAGTTTTTCTACGTTTTTTCTTATCATTTCTTGAATTCTACACTGCTATAAGATCGTTTTGCTGCATTATTCAATTCTAACAAATTAAGGACATACTGGGAAAAAAAATATTTGCGTTGCTTGTTTTCCACGTTTATAAACTAGTTATAATTACGATAATTGGTCAGTGACCTTAAACTATAACAACACGCTGTCAAACGTATTTACACGCAATTTATTTACGTTACAGGAAAATGGCCGATGAGAATCGCGTTGTATACCCCGACGAAGTTGCTGATATCAAAGCTAAGGAAGCTGAAGAGTCACAGGCCGTTGAATCAAACTCCGTTGAAGACCCACCGTTAGAATCAAACGTACAATTAAAAAATATGATTCAGGTGCCACCGAATTGTCCCCCTGGACAGTCTCGAGGCGCAGATGGCGTTTGTCGTGACGTTTTTTAAATAATATTGACACAATATACAATAGTATCAATCAAATTTAAGAAAAACATAATCAGTATTAGATAGTAATTAATAGCAGATAGGCATAACTTTTACAACTTTACTTTTTTATTTATTTACAATAAATATTCCTATACTTTACCACTTTATTTATTTTGTTACGCCAAAGATAATAAAATTATTTGACGACTCATAATTATTTTAAAATTATTTTAATTCCTCATAAAAAAATTGATATTAAATCTTGTTACAATATTTAAAAATAAGCGATAACGAATATAAAAACAAAACTATATTTTGTTATTACGCATATATCGTCGAATATATTTTTAAATTGAGAAAAAAATGTTTATATTTCATTTGTGCAACCAATCTTTTACAAGAATATTAGAATTATTTTATCAACGTAAAATAAATTCCTATATTTTTTTTCCATAGTAAATTCGGAACTATAAAAGCAAAAAACACTATAAGGAAAAATTTATGGAAACAAATACCTAAATTGTGTACATTGATTCCTGTTAACGAGTAACTGGTTAAACCACATTTCGCAATCTCATATTTTGATATTTCAAATTTATATATCTAACAAAGTTATAAAGAGAACATTGGAGTCGTGACTGCATTTATTTTTTGTTTAAAAAAACTCAATTGCTTAATGTTACGAATTGTGATCGGCGAGATACTCCATTCATGTTTTTTCATATTAGTTCTCCAAGTTTAAATAGGTTTAACACCTTTTTTGCGTTATTAAATTATAAATAGTATATTCTGTGTCGATAACACATTTAAATAGCTTGCTTTTTCTTATTAATCATAATTTTACAATATAGCAATACAGTCAAACAGGATGTAACCAAAATTTACGTTTTTCTATGTTGTAGGCAAATGGCTGACAATACTCGAATTGTTTTCCCTGATGAAGTTGAAAAAATGAGAGCTGATCAAGAAAAACAAGCTGTGCAATCAAACTACATCGAACACCGACCTTTAGACTCAGACATACAGTTAGACAATTTGTGATTTAAGTGCCTCCTTATTGTCCCAAAGGACAACCTAGAGGGGCAGACGGCGTTTGTCGCGTTATTTTTTAAACAATATTTTAATTACACGAACTTAATCTGAACTATTTGTACTGAAATGGTCTTACTTATGAAAAATATCATCATGTATTTTAAATAATATTAATGGGTGGGGATTGTATAATGACATTCTTAAACTTGAAATAAAAAGTATTCATTGTAGCTGTTCCTTTTTTTGAAATTTGAAAAAGCTTCACACTGTCAGCACACGAAAAAAAAAAAAAAGAATACATATAAATATGAATACATATTATAGACACAAATACTTTATGTGCACATATATTTTGCTTACCTCTAACAGGCTAAACCAGTTTTTGGTCGATGCGCGTGCATCGAATGTTCGAACGATTATATTTAGCTATTTTTTTTCTTTATTTAGAACGTTTACGTTTGAATAAATATTTTCTATTTGCATGATTTGACAAGTTTGTTAATTAGAGAATAATATACTCGTATATATTTTCTTTTTTAATACATAATACTCTCTATATCGACCTTTTTCAAGATTTATATGGATTTTTAATTTAAGACATGATTATAACCATAACGATGTTTTTTTATATACCTTTACATTGGTATATATCATATTCATTCATTAAAATAACCATTTTATTAGAAAATGAAGTCGCAGAATGAATGTCATGTATTTGCATTGATGCGCCTATTGATTATCTTCTTCTTCTATCTATATATATAAAAATGGATTGCTGTTCCTTAGTCTCACTAAAACTCGAGAACAGTTGAACGGATTTGTCTTATCTTAGTCTTGAAATGTTTGTGGAGGTTCAGGGAAGGTATAAAAGGTGAGAAAAATTGGAATAATTGCCGGGAAAACCCTAAAACCAGCCCTTTTCTATTTCCCATACAAACGCTTTTTTTGACATTAGATTTGACAACTAACTAATATGTCAATCATTATGTTTGATTGAAACAGGAAAAACCTGATTATTTATGGCCTCTAAGACGGAATAGAGTTCGCCTGGTCAGCTATACATATACTACTAATGACGAAACTAACGCGGACGAAGTCGCGGGCAAAAACTAGTATATATATATAAAAATGGATTGCTGTAACTTAGTCTCGCTAAAACTCGAGAACAGCTGAACTGATTTATCTTATCTTAGTCTTGAAATGTTCGTGGAGGTTCAGGGAAGGTATAAAAGCTGAAAACAATTGATTCATTACTGGGAAAACTATAAAAACAGCCCTTTTCTATTTCCCATACAAACGTTTTTTTGACATTAGATTTGACAGCTAACTAATATGTCAATCATTCTGTCGCACTTCAAAACACGGAGATTTATGGCTTACAGGTAAACTCCAAAAATATAAATAAAACAACGTAATAAATATTTCTTGATTATACGATACGAGTATGGCGATACGGAGTTCGCCAGGTCTTCTAGTATATAATAAAAAACTTGAATATCGTTTGAGTAACTTTTATTCAGTTTGTATCTTTTCTCCAGTGAGACGTATTTTCTTGCCATCTATAGTTCGTAAACAGATTTAAAATATTGTATGTTGTCCAGCTTTAATTCGAATTCATGTAGTTCTAAGATTATTGGCATACTATGTATATGATCAAGTTTTCTGGAATTATCTATTACCTTTCAGTTTGCAAGGTTGAAGTGAGTGAATACGGACTAATGACCAATGATACGGTGACCTATGAAAATACCCAGAGTATTTATTATCTATGGTAATACCCTGAACTTGAGATACCGTGAATTATCTGACATCTTAAAGAGAATATATATTTAAACTGATAACGGTTATATAATTTCATTAAAATTCAGTGAATGTAATTGAACACGGTTCCTGTTAAAATAATTAGAGAATAAATTATATAGTATATTCTTGGAAACGCTTGGTACAGCCTAGTTGTGGTTAATACAGCTCGAACGAGGGGTGGCTCGACCGGGAAAGCACCACCCTCTCACAACAGATCGGCTTGAAGTAACCTATAATGGCTACGTTTCGTTGGAGGAGTAAAAGAGCCGGGTGCCCTTTCTCTTTTCCCGTCTGCTCGTTTTGTCACCTTCGATAAAAAAAATTATAATAATGTTCTTAAAAAACCATACCTATTTTCAATCGGTCATTCCTTAGTATGATTGGTATTATCAATATTACTTACTGCACATGGTTCTGAGTTCGATCCCTGACTAGATATGTAGATGATACTTAATGAAATATTTGATCAAAATGTCGCTGGTAATAAAAATCACTATGAGGAATACTTGTACATTGGCAGAAGTTTATAGATACTAACGTAATGGTAACCTTTTTTTTTCAAGGAGAAAATCAACAAATGACCCCTCTTGCCCCACCCAGGATAAGAGGGGTCATTTGTGTCCGTGTGTCAGTCTCCTATTGACTAAAAACTCCCCGTACCTACTCCTGCTGCGAGCCTGGCCGCGGTCATCATTGCGCTTACACACGCGACCCGGACGTAATGGTAACCTTGGAGCGTGGAACATGGGTTGAATGATAATTACAGATGTAAGCCAAATAAAAATTCCTTGTTTTAAGCTTTCACGTTCCACCAATTCACAAATTTAGAAGTTTATAAGAAAAAACTAACATATCTGATGTTATTTCTCTATAAAAACCTCTCTAGATTGATATCAAATATCATTAGGAAATATTTTGCACAAGTGAATCAAAAATTAAATAATTAGAGTAATAATATATTGAAATATTTTGAATCTAAAATACTAAGTAAAAGTCTTTAGATGTTTCAGAGATTTGTAATATTCGTCAAAGTTTACAAAATGAAAAAATTTTTTATTGTATCAAAATAGTAATCGAAAGATGTCTATATTTACAAAAATCTTTTATTTCAATATCTCTTCTAGAAGAAGATAGCAAAAATAATATTATTTTGCTAATTTAAGCGATAATCAACACATCTTTAGCGAATTCGAATAAAAATTAATTAATTGTATCACGTTAATTTTTTATTAAGCTTTTTAATTAGCGGAAAGTTTAGTGATTTCAGATATATTTTTTTCTTTTTTAGATTGAGTATATTTAAAATACAAACACATCCGTGTCTTAGATATTTTTTTCTCATTTTATACAGAAAGTTAATGAAATCTTATTCTGCAAATTTCTGTATTCCACTTTGTTTATTATTTAATGATTCAAATCTCTATTGCGACTAGAAAAAACCAAACTGCAATATAAATTAATTACTTGATGATAAAAATAATTCCGCATAGTTGGTAATTAACACTACAAACATACATATTTGAATAATTTTAATAATCTAGTAACGGAGACTTCGCCAGTCGTTTTTTTTAATTAAATCTGGTCTTGCATATTTAAATTTTATTATATTATGAGGTATACTGTAATATTCTTTCAAATTAAAATATCATGTAATAATAAGTTGTCAACCTTTTTAATATCTGCATTTTTAACATTCTTTGTTTGTATTAAATATATGTACTTGTCGAACGTTTATATAATACCTCTTTAAAAATTACATTTGATTTCATTGGTAAAATTTAGATACTTAAATTAAAAAACAAAGACATACTCACTTCAAATTAGCATCAATAAAATTATAAAGCAAAATTTTTATATTTTCTAGTCTATATTACCTTATTCAACTTTAATGTAAGTATGCTTGTGCTTTGATAATAAGTCTTAATTAAAACCACTGTGTTAAAATTAATACAACTGCCAATGAATTATGACAAAAGTAAACTGGCACCTAAAATCAAATCAATATAAATTTCTCTTGTTATAGTTTAATTGTCAATTAATACGAGTCATTAATAGATAACTTGAAAATCTTGTTAAAATTCTGTGAAGTTAATTCAATAGTTAATTAAACAATTGTTCCGGTCGAGTTTTCTACCACTTTTTATTATTTTGATACAAACTTTCAAAGTTTTGACTCATAAATTTCCTTATCTTACCTTACCCTTATTTCAATTAAATTGTTACCCTTAACGAGATCTAAGACTTTCGCGAGTTTTATTTATTTAAATGAAACGAATATTTTCTGGTATACTATGCGTGCCTTATTTTATGTAAAAAAGTACATACTCCTGACGTTTCGGCTACTTTACAGCAACCGTGATCACAGGCAGACGAGATGTGAATATCTGTCAGTTGGTCCTGTTATTTATCATCTACAACCATTAGTTTCATTTAAATTGTTAACCAAATATTTTTAAGGTGACGTGATTGTAATAGAGATATGACTACATACCGTGAAAAATAACCCTTAGTTCATTTTAAGGGCCAGTTATTTATAGTCTTGTTTGAAAAAAAATCCTGTAAATTCTACAGATTTAATGTTGTTAAAAACATTAATACTACTGTTGCGTTGCCCATCGTTTTTTATTGTAGTAATTTTTTTTTTGGTGTCGCGGAGAAACTCTTTTTACGAGCCGTCCGACCGGCCATGGTGGGGCGGAAGGGATGTGTGAGGCTCAGCCTGGGCAGTACCCCGGATCTGTCACCGACAGGGCACAACAGCGACTGGCCGGTCCTGGCAAAGACCGGACTTACTCCCTCGGAGTTTAATAGTAGTGCCTAGGCCCTAGCCTATAAACTTTATATAATAATACCTATATTATATAAAGTTTATATATTATTATACAAAAATTGTACAAAACATATCCTGAAATTTTTTACCTAGTATTCTATATTTCGAAAAGAAAAGGTACATTAGTACAAATGTTTAAATTACAATGATTCATATTATTAACAAAGTGATCGAAGCTACTTATTTAACTATCTACTTAGTTAACTAATATCATTAGCGGTATTAATTTGTCATTATAATTGCAACATAAGCTATTATGCAAGTTTAATGCCCTCTAATTAAACTGGAGACATAATGACCAAAAATTAATGTGTAGAACTGCGTTATAAGCAAATCAATAACATCATCTTCCTCAGCCTATCGGTGCCCACTGCTG